ATTTTGACTGTTTTAACTATCATTCGATGCAGAATAAAATTGCGCGTCGAATGATATTAAAAACAACTCAAAATGTAATATCCATGCAGAGTTATGAGGTAAAAGGTGGTAATGGATGCGGTTTAGGTTTTTAGCCAATAACTTTGCATGGATATCAGATTTGGAGTTGTTTTTAATATCATTCGACGCGCAATTTTGTTCTGCATCGAATGATAGTCAAAATAGTCAAAGCCGATGGGTTGATGCTGAGAAAAATACGAGAAGCCTCAAATTGCCAACGGCAAAGAAGATGGTTTTGTTACAAGTACACTCCATAGCATGGGTTGACGATTATAAACCTATTCTTATCGAAAGATGGTTGGCTTTGCCCGTAAAATCTCGTTAGAGGTACTGTAGCTGCTGTAGGAGGACTGTAACCGATCTAGAGAGTACTATAGCTGCTGTAGAGGTACTGTAGCTGCTGTAGAGGTACTGTAGCTGCTGTAGGAGGACTGTAACCGATCTAGAGAGTACTATAGCTGCTGTAGAGGTACTTAAAGTACAAACGCTAAATTTGTAATCGATTCGGGTGTTGCTTTGCAGTTGTTTTCTACCTCCACACGTAGTGCCATTTATTTTGATCCGGATCAAGCGCTCAATAAACTGTTTGAGCTAGCCAAACCATCGTCACGTATCCCACATATTCTCTCTTTTCTCGTGGCTCATTTCCCGTCGATTCTTTTTGTCTTCTTTTTTTGATTGTTGTCAATCAAATCCCCCTTGCAATTCTCTCTTTTCTCCTCAACAAACCATTCCCCTTTCAATCTTTTCTCGCGCATTCTTTCCCCTTTTTCCCTTTTCACTTCAAGGCCTCAACACATGGAGAAAACAATTCGCAACATTGTACTATTACTATTTCTTTTTGTGTTTTTCGATCTAGACATTTGAATAGTCAAAGATTTTCGCATGATTTCCGCAATCAAAGAATTCCGCATTATTTTAGCGGCTTGGCTCTACCTTTGGCTCTATCTTTTACAAATTGGCTCTACCTTTTAACCTTGGCAATCAAATTTTCTTGTAAACTATCACTGTTATACTTCGAATTCTTAATTTTCGTGTGGATTTGGGTTTTTTCTTTGTAATAAACTTGAAAAGCTTTCTACTTTTCAATTGGATATTCTAACAATTCAATTAAATAACTTTAATTAAACAAATTCAATTAAATCAAACCCTCAAAGAAAGTCTATTTCCATTAAAAGCCTTAAATTGCTGTTTATCAAACTGTTTTTATCGATTCCTTAGATTTTGATCGTACAAATGTCGTTTTGGGATTCAAAAGCTCGCCTTTTGTACGCAAATGACTCATCATCGGGACTCTTTTCTCATTTTTACTAAAGGGAAATCTTTGTGATGAAGAAACATTGATTTGAACATTGATTTGTTTAGAAAATCTCTTTTCTAAACAAATATTTGTTTTAAAAGTTTTGATAAGTTTGTCTAATCTTTTGAATATGCAAAACTCTCAAAATAACTTGATCTTCTCTTGCTTTGCTTCCTTGATCGCTTGGAACAATTTGGTTTGCCTTTATTGCAATTGAAAATTGAATTTGAAAATTGAAAATTGCAAATTCTACATCAAATGAGCATTTCTAGCGCTAGCTTTTTAACTGTGATGTTTCTAGAAACATAACAGAATTAGGAGAATGTTGCCGAGAATTAGAGACAATTCCGAGAATTGCCGAGACAATTTTCTGTATAAGAGCACGTGTGGCTGACTGGTTAAGTGTCTTTTATCTTAATCGGAAGGTCGAGGGTTCGAACCCCACATGCGACATGGTCACCCCCTTCGGATTTCCTTTCCCTTCGGGTTGAGAGGTTTTCTGGAGGGCAGTCTGGTGGTTGTGGCCCCAGTTCTTTAAAGTGACAAGCCACTCCTTCATCGTCATCTTCCCTTCACCACCAAAAAAGCTATTTAGTTCCCCATTGAGCTTAGGGTTAGGGAGCCGTCTGTCATGACGTGGGTTAAGTTAAGATATAGCCTAGTATTGTGTGTGTCGTTGTATTGTGATTGATATATTTCGTGTATGCGATAAATTCACCACTGGTAGCCCCAGTCGGTATTTTTTTTTTAACACTTGCCAATTTCTCTGCCGAGACAATTCTCTGTATAACACTTGCCACTTTTGAAATAAATTAGACATTTCCCAGATACTTTTCCAAAAAATTGTTGCAGTAATTCTTGGTCACCCTGTAGAAATGAGGCATAAAATGCATTTATTGCATTTCTTTTTTTTCTTTTCTTTGCACGGGTTTCTTTACGTCAAATTTTACTGGAATAAAACTGAACTGTTAGTCTAGAAACATAAATAGCAGAGCAGCATACGATTTTGCAATGTCTCATTGATTTGCAAATTTTCGCAAATTTTCGATTTGCAAAAATTTGCTTTCGTTTAAACGACTTGCAAATTTCGCAAATTTTTGCAAATCGAAATTTTCATTCTTTAGACATTGCAAAATCGTGTGTTGCTATGCTATTTATGTTTATAAACTTAAAAAGAATCATAACAGTTAAAAAGCCAGCGCTAGAAATGCTCATTTGATGTAGAGAATTTGCAATTTTCAATTTTCAAATTCAAGTTCAATTGCAATAAAGGCAAACCAAGTTCAATTGCAACCAAGGCAAACCAAAAACCAAGCCAGCGCTAGAAATGCAGACTGTTCAGTTATCAAAAGCATTAGTTGCACGTTCAAGTGCCAAACTTTCCCGTATTCTTGCGCTTACACCGAAAATCAAGCGTCAATGATGTGCTTAATGTGGTTTCATTCACTTTCTTTTCTTTTCTTTTTCATTTCTTTATCTTTTCCCTTCAGTTCTTTTTCTTCAGCTTTCTTTATGATTTGGCTGTCAGATTTTGGCGGTGAAAAGTGAAAAGAGTGAAAAGAAAAATGTTTGCTTACCCCTTTTCTCGTCAATTTCACACCGAAAAGCCGGCTTTTTGTAGGGTTACGCTTTTTGCTAATGACAAGATCTTCTCATTAATCAAAATATGATATGAGAAAAAAGATTTGGCTACATATCTATATCAAGATATAACTCCTTCACCCAAACACCAATGGACTTCTATACAAGACACAACGATTTGCCTTCGTGCTCATTTCTTGGCCTAGAATTTGAATTCATAGCCAAGTTCCGATCAATCTTCATGAAATATTTCATTTCTTTCATTTTCTGATTCTTTCTTGGACTGTAATAGATATAAATACTGAGAATTCGTCTGATTTTAATTTTCTTTGTTGGGCTTTGAAGCTTAAGGTTGTTTTAGAGGGAATTTGCTTTTGTTTTTGCTGATCTTACTGCTGACCTATGCTGACCTATGCTGAACTATGCTGACCTATGCTGACCTAGCTTTGAACCCAGGCCAAAACACGATTCTGATCGGTTCTGGACCTAGCAACTTTTCAGTGCCTGTTAAAAAATGCTTGATCAGTCGAAGTCAAGCCTGGCTACCTGGCTTTTGGATTGACTCTTTGGTCAATAACACCCCATATAGGATCCTAGTAACACCCCAGATCTTGGGTTGGTGCACTGAAAACTGCGGGCTATTTCGCGGGACTCGCAGATAAAGAAAACAACAGCATAGAACCAGCTGAAAATGGGGTTTGTTTATTTCAACATTTCCTCTAATTATTGCAACAAAAACTATGCTTCTAGCTTTTCATTTTTTGGTATTTTTCTTCACTTCTATTGCAGTCGACAATCTGCCACCGGGACATATTCGTCATGCTTCATGAGTTCCTACAAGAGCACAGTGCAGGCTTGGCAGCTGCTAATATTAAAAAGATATATGGGGAGAACTCACCATCCGAAAGAACGTGTCGAGTATGGTTTGTCAAGTTTCGATTTGGGGAAAAATCTTTGAAAGATGCAGAGGCCGTGGAGCGGCACCCCAACTGGAAGATTCCAAATTACTCATTACCAACGACGATCGGGTATCATCACGTGAATTGGGAGAAGAGTTAGGGGTTGATCATGCTACAGTGATAAGGCACCTTCATACCCTTAGATCTAAAACGAAACTTGGGGCTTGGGCCCTCCAAGGCCCTCGAAGTCAAAGATCGTTCTCTTCCACGACAACACGCGCTCTCGTGTCGCAAAACTGACTCGCTCTAAAATAAATAGCCTTGGTTGGGAACTTTTGGCATATCCCCATATAGTCCGCGCCTCGCCCCTCCTGATTACTATTTATTTCGGATCATCAGTAATAAGCTTGCGGGAGAACACTTCGATTCGGAAGAAGCAGTCAAAAATTGGCTTTGAAAGTTTTTCAATTCAAAATCAAAATCCTACGAGAGAAAGAGGAATTGGTAAAATGTCTGTAAAATGGGCAGAAGTCGTCAATAATAATGGAAATTATTTGGAATTGATTGATGGTTTTATGTTGAATAAATCTTAGTTCAAAGTCCCGCAGTTTTCAATGCACCAACCCAATAATATCTTTTCCCCCAACCTGCTTCCACTCCATCCACTCCAAAGAGTCGACCGCCGATGAAATTCGGCACCGGAATCTCATTGAGGATACCGACTTGTGGCGCATTTTTGTAAAAGCAACTATGATAGGATTCAAATCCTAGTGAAAAGAGGGGTTCGGTGGGTTAAACGCAAATGAAATAGAGGGATTGATAGACTTGGATTGACTCTAGCCTAACGGGCAAACGGGAATACAGAAAGGACTTGTTTCCCAGTATTTTGTTGAAAAACATGTGACAATCAGCGAAAAAGAGAGTCGATCGCGCCCTCAAAATATCGATAAAAAGATACGTGAATCGCCTCTTTTTTTTTTGCCTTTTTAGCCTCTTCAAAATGAAAAGCGCCCGCTCGAAAACAAACACTTTTTCTTCAAAAAATTCGAATCAATTGCCCAATCTTCAACTTTTTTTTGCTCAATTTTTTGATTCTTTCAACTTTCCCTGATTCTATTTAATCTTTTGATTCCAGTGATGCATCAACGATAGAAAAAGAAATGGTGAAAGAGCTGTCGAACAATAACAATGTGAGTTGAAATTTCAATTTGTCAATTTTTACTCTTTTTTGAATCTTTTACTTGATTGGATATCGATTTTCATAGAAAAATTTCCAGGAGCTTTTCGAGATTTGCCGTAAGAATGACCTCGAGAAGTTGCAGTATTGGTTGACGCTAAAAAGGAGTAAACGGCCGAGGACACCGCTGAAGTGAGTGCGAAAGAATTGAGAGATTTTATTGAGCTTTGAGATTTATAGCTTTTGATTGATTTTGATTAGAATTGGTAGATTTAACGGCTGTTTATTGCTGTAAATCTTTAAATCGAGATTTGAAAGCACATCTAATGCCTAGGAGAGTACCTGGGTTGTTTTACAGTAATCTGCACCTAAGCATGAGTTGGCCTGGCCTAATCTGGGTTGAAGTGGGTTTTCCAATGTTCTATCTGGTTCATAAGAGTCAGAAGCCAGACCTGGACCTGTCTCGGGCCAGGCTCTGTCGCTGGCCAGGCCAGGCTGGCTTGGCTTCATTGACTTAGGCTACAGGACCTAGAATTCAGTTGGAAAATCAATAATAGTGTATCCCTCATGTAAGAAACCAGCCGAAAAATCCGCTGGCTGGATTTCTTGGGGTTGTTTTTGTCGGCATCATAACTTTGTCGCGGGAGCGCGCTTGTCTGCGACCCACCGTGGAGTCTACGGTCCCCCGGGTTCGACCTCCTTTAGCGCCAATCAATTTTGATTTCTTGAATTTTTATTTAAAATGGCACAACTACAATATATTCTAAGGTTTACTAAAAAAAGTTTGAGCTTTATCGGTCAAAACATGGCTGAGAAAAAGCTTGTACAGACAGACAGACAGACAGAAAGACAGACAGAAAGACAGACAGACATACAGAAAGACAGACAGACATACAGAAAGACAGACAGACAGACAGACAGATAGAAAGACAGACAGACAGAAAGACAGGCAGAAAGACAGATAGAAAGACAGAAAGACAGACAGACAGACAGACAGAAAGACAGACACTTCTCTTTTATATATAGTAGATTTCCGTTGAAAAACTCTACACAACTAGACAAAAAGCAATTGTCAAGATAGCTCGATTGCTAATTTTCGTATGTAAACTAACGCTATTTTCACTTTTTCAACTTTGGCGCAGTAAATAGCGCGCTTGTCTACGGCTCACACGACCCGGGTTCGACTCCCGGCTGTGTTGGGGCTTTTGTTTTTTAAAAAACGGAATATTAGATGCAAAACTACATAGAATTCTAAGCCTAAAAAATCAAAAATCATGTAAATCAGCCCACTGGAAGCTGAGGAAAAACTCGTACAGACGGATGAACGGACAGACACTTCCCTTTTATATATAGTAGATCATATAAGCTGAATGTTCTAGCATTTGTAGTTACCGTAGTCTATTTTTTATTCCCAAGAAGTCTATTCGCAATAAAAGTCTCAATAACTTCAGTTTCCTTCGATCAACCACCCCGAACTCAGCATGGCTCGCAGCGATCCGCGATCCCAACTCTCAATACACCGTTCTGCACACCGTCGCTTTACACGGCTATGAGGTTGCCCGCTTTAGAAGATCCAGTCATTCTCCATTTTTAGGCTGTCTGCCAAACTCTCATCGAAAGCGACGTGCAGCTTTGCTCAGCCAAAGATAAACGCGGTTGTTTACCGCTTCATTTGGCCGCCTGGAATGGCCATCTTGGAATTGTGAAAGTAAAATGAAAAAGCGTAGAAAGTCCGAAAATTTCCAAGTTCAGCTCCTCTGCGAGGCAGCCCGTTCGACAATCGATTCTCCGAACAATGCCCAAGAAACAGCGATGCATCTAGCTGCTCAACACGGCCACTCTAGGATTGTGCAAATGTTGATCGATGTGGGTTTAAACAAATTAGAATTTTGAAGTTAGGAGTGAATTAGGCTGCGATGTTAAGTGCTTTCTAAAAGGTGGGATTAGAAAATGGTGAGACCGAGCTAGTTTTTTGGATTGGGGGACATTTGATACGCGCACCGCCCACTTTGCCATTGGCAATCCAACTTTGAGCTCAAATATCTCGGCTTTCGTTTGTCCAATTTAGATATTCTTGTTTTCATTAGATGCGCCAAGTCTTTCTCTGTCGATTGGTACAAAAACTATTTAAATTGCATAGCCCAAAGCCACGATATTTGAGTTCAAAGTTAGATTGCCAATAGCAAAGGGACGGGGCGCGTATCAAATGTCCGATAACCAGTTTTTTGTAACAAAACCCTTTTGCCTACCTCGTAACCTCAAGAAAAGGTTACGATATCGTTTTCTAAGGGCAACTTTTTTGAAAAGAAACTGATTTTTCCGTTAGAAAACAATCTGATCTGATTAAGATACAAAATTTTTATGTAAACTTTTGAATAAATTTGTTGAATCTCTAAAAGAGATGATGGAAAACTGTTTTTTGTGCTTTAAAGCTGTATAAAGCTACAATATAATACTATTTCCCAATTTCAGTACGGAGCTGACGCTAGCGTTCGAAATGCTCGTTGTGAGACCCCGTTGGACATTGCGGCCAGGACAGGGCACGCGTCGGTGGTGAAAATACTCGTCACCCTGTGCCCGGATCTAGCGCTACAGGTACTGCAGAAGATCTTAAGATACTGAGAGTTGATCTTTGAAAAACCTTAATCAGCACTAAATCCCCAATTTTAGTCAGCCGTCGAGTGCGCCTCAACAGCTGAAAATGGTCGCTCAGCCCCGATGGTTGTTTATCCAATTCACGCAGCTGCAAGGCATTCACATATTCAATGTCTACAAATGCTCAGGTGCGTTAGATCAAGTTATCAAAATAAGCCTAAGCCTAAGCCTAAGCCTAAGCCTAAACCTAAGCCAACGCCAAAGCCTAAACCTAAGCCTAAACCTAAGCCCAGGCCTAAGCCTAAGCTTGAGCCTAAGCCTAAGCCTAAACCTAAGCCAAAGCCTAAGCCTAAACCTAAGCCTTATTCTAATTCAAAAACTAGAGTAAGCTGTCAATACTTAAGAGTTTAGATTTGCTGGCTTTGATCTTAACTATGTGACTGATGAGGGAAGCGCCCTTCACGTGGCTGCAATGTTCGGACAAATCGAGGCCGTCAAGTATTTGATCGAAGAAGGTTAGTAGAACATGAATACTTGTGTTTGGGGTTAGGAACTAAGAAGGCGAGAGCTTAGCTCTATATTAACTGAAACGCATGACCAACTGTGAAATAAGACAAAACTGGGAAACTTTAGCACACCAAATGCCTATCTGCAAACTTTTCAGGCATCAATCCGCACATCAAAGATTCGCGTGGTCGATCGGTGTTGGAGATGCTGGACGAGCACGAGAATCAGCGAGCCTCCGATCTCACGCAAGTCATTCAGAGTCGAGACGGGTGGCGACATTGTCGACGATTGATACAGAGTAAGATTTGATCGGGTTGAGGAAGAGAGATGGTTTAAAATTTCAGCCTACATTCAAAAATGTGGTCATTTGAACTCGTCAAGCGACAGTGGAATCGATCGTCCTGACGCTGATCGTTCGCCAAAAGAAGTTATTTGGAGACCCTTGCCCAGCACGAGTAGAGGTTGGAAACAAGCTTATATCTAGTGATCTAAAGAATCTAGTGACCGGCCCAGGTGACCCGGGCGCAAGTGGTTCAGTGGTAGAATGCTCGGCTGCCACATGAGCGGCCTGGGTTTGATTCCCTGCGCGAATTGTTCTGCTTTTTTGGGTTTTAAATTCGCGAATTGTTATGCTTTCTTCAAATTGGACATTATTCACATTTAAAAGCACAAAAGCATAGTCTGGATAGAGAAAGGCATAGTCCATATTTTGCTGGCTCACAAGCACAACGGACAGTGCAGCTGAAGCTGAAGATTCCCTTCGGACAGCGTCGAACAGAGTGGGTAGATCTAGATAGAGAAAATGGATAGCTAGGTAAATGGATACGGTAGCTTGGGGCAAATGGATACGGTAGCTTAGAAAGCGAGCTGGGATTACGGTAACTTGATAACTTGTCTAACAATAAAGTGAACTTGGAATACGGTAATTTGATCTACAGTTTAGAAAGCTTAGAAAGTTGTACAGTAGGGTATTAAGCTGGTAAGCTGGTAGTCTGGTAGTCTGGTAAGCTGATAGTCTTTGTTATTTGCTGTAAGTTCAGATAGGCAACTAGCAATCTTATAGCAGAGTTACGGTGGCAAGAGCACAGTTTAAAAAATAGCAAGCTGTTGCGAATTCAGCGACATCTAGCCATCTAGCCTTGTGTTTTAAAAGTAATTCAAATTTCAGCCGCCAATGACGCAACGCGATCAAATAAATCAGCGTCACCATCCTCAAATTTTCGTCCGCCATCGATTCGAGCTGAATTGATCGATCTCGATCAAATTGAAGACCCAAATAGCACAATATCGATATCGACAAAGGATGATCAAGATTCTATGTAAATTCTTTGGCTTATTGGCTATGATTTCTATTGGAATTTCTATTGGAACATCTATTGGAACATATATTATTATAAATTCAAGACTCATACATGACTGATAGACTCAAAATCTGCATTTAGAAGTCAAATCTCACCCTGTTCCACCAATTATTCAACGGGCTCAAGATGGAGCTCGAGGATGAGCGATGGGAGAACGCCAAGGTTATTATTTCAAAGCTTTAAAGTGTCACAACTTATTTTCTGGAACTTTTGCCTTTCTAGATTTCCCCTCACTTCGCCGAACACAAAATCTCGTCACTCGAGCGTAAAACGCTTCCCGGAGACGATGCCCGCATCGATGAGCATCGCCAGGACAAACACTTTACCGACAAGGGGTAGAAATAGTTCGATAATCTATTTGTATACTAGATTTTTCTCTATCTGGACTGCTGACATTGCAAATTTGCATCCAAAAGTGTTCAGCTTCGATTTTGCCAGTGTCAAATGGTGCTAGCTGCGTTTACAAGCCGCCGCCTGGTGTCGAGCCGAAACGAGTGCTGCAAAGTGATGGCACATCGCACACTTATAATCCTGGATTCTCGTATGATAATGTACCGTCGAATAGGTGAGTGCTTTAGTGGTAGAGTTTACTGATAGAATTGAGTCCACTTTCACGTCATCGTTACAATAAAGTAAAGTTCTGCTATGAGCTCTCAAAACGAATGCCCCATGCCCACCGGGGATCGAACCAATCAATCGATCAGATCGTTTGCTTTCGCTCAGATCGCAGATCCGAGCGAGGGCTCAACCAATGAGCTATAGACGCACAAGAGAGCCTTCCAAGAGGCTCAAAACAGCGACGTTAGTCGTGACTTACTTTGAGTCTCTCTCTGGAATCCCCCTGTCACTTAAAATATCTGAGAATCGTTCAAAAACGTAGTCAATGCTATGTTTTAGGCAATGGGTTCATGACTGTAATGACCCGCGAGAGTTGGGCCTTCCACCGGCAATCCGCGCGATTCCCACGAGATCCGACGGAACGCAGACACTCCCAGCACCGAGAAACCGAAATCGACCAAATGTTCTCCAAACGTTTTCCTCGATTCAAGAAGATCCAATAGCTCCAGTGAGCTTTACGGTACGAAGCTTAAAAGTTGGCTGGCTTAAAAGTAATCCTAAACAACTTTACTGGTCACAACTAGACTTTAAGAAAATGTCATTGTAAAGGCAACAGTTTTTCCTCGGAAACTTGATCATAGCTGATTTGATTCAATCGATATTATCTCTTCATTTCAGGATCGTCCACTTCACGAGACTTCTCCGAGCTACGGTCGATCAGTCACCCAATTGAATGGCACTTTGGAGAAAAATCGCGAGGGATCGATCACGTCAAATGGAAGTGTCGAGAGGAAAATTGGTAGTTTTCTCAAATTTTTGAATGAAAAAAAGATAAAATCGATTAGCTAGTCTTTCTAAAAGAAAATTCTTCACTTTTCAAACTAAAGTTACAATCTGACACCTTTTCTAGAAAAGAAACCAGGTTTACAAGCTCAGGTCCAGTCACCAAGCCGCCAGCTGTGCCGAAAATCGTGGCTCGTTGGTCTCGGAACCTTGATCGAGAGGATTCTCTGGGCTTGGGTAACGTTTTGGACACAAGAGAGCCATCAGTCTTCACATTTGCTTGTTCGACACTTGGAAGACAATGTAATGCTTTCTTTTATCAGTTAATAAGTTATCCCATTCAATTCAAAGTTTGATTCTCATAGAATAAAACTAAAATAGATTTCTCTACTAAAGTACGGTATTTCTCATATTGTCCACCTTTTAAAAAGCGTACTCTAGTTGCTAATTATGTCCTAGAATGGTTTACGACATTTGAAGCAGTGTAAAATGCGCAGAAAGTTCATCTTTTGTGATATTCTAGTTAATAAAGTAAAGTAAGGAATGGCAAAGAAAGATTTCCGGAGAAGGGATTGAACCCTCGACCTTCTACTTAACAGGCAAATGCTCTACCAATGAGTTATTGGCGCTTTCTTTGTTTAAGAAGAGATAGGAAAGACAAGGAAGAGAAAGAAAGGAAGAAATAAAGGAAGAAAGGAAGGAAGAAAGGCAGAAGAGAAAGAAAGGAAGGAAGAAAGGAAGGAAGAAAGGAGGGAAGAAAGAGAAGGCAAACCGTAAAGTTACCGTAACCAAAAGCTAAATTTAAATGGAATTATGACTTCAATCAAATAGCTAAATGTTAATTTTATAAAATCATTGTGATTCTGTAGTTAGTTAAATCAAAATATAAATCATCGAACAATAATTCGACTTGATTACTGGCTCTTTATAATTTAATCCATCTAACTAACTATTATAATTTAATCCATCTTTTAGAAATCAATTCAAATCAAGCAATCAGTTTAATAAGTTTTAGAGTAAATCGAGTTGATATGGTAAACTTGAAAATAAATGAATAACATTTTCGAAAGAAATAGCTGAAGTCAAAATATAGCCTAATCAGCATAATTTCAATCAAAATTTATTTCAAAATATCCAATTTTCTCTAATAGTAGTCTAAAGATAAAGCTTCTTTACAGGGTGCGCCAGAAGTTCTGTCACCTAAATGGGTTTATAGACTTTACGACACACCAATCACACCAATCAGGCAAATACCAATCAACACCTAACTGGGTTTATGGCAAATACCAATCAACTTTGGATTTTTTTGAGCTTGTTTTATGAATATTGAATAAAAGCTATCAAAGCTATAAAAGCTATCAAATAAAATGTTCCTAGAAGAATTCTATCTTTTACTAGCAACGAATTTAGGCTCTTGCGTAGTTTCCGAATATTTTGAAAGAATCCGGGTATTTTGAACGGGTCGTCACGCTTTGAGGGCCTATAACTTTATCCAGAGATAATATTTTTGTTAACTTTTTATATCATTGTACAGAGGACATTTCAGGCTTTCAAATGATACCAAATAAAACTTGATTGAATTTTTCATTCCCTTGCAAAAAAGGTGAAACGACACCCAAGCTGGATAGGCCTCATTTGCTCAGAGTAGGCTCTGATTTTTTTTGGACTGGTTTATCCAATTAAGCTCTATTTGGTATCGTTTGAAAGCCTAAAATGTCCTCTATACAATGGTATAAAAAGTTAACACAAATATATTATCTCTAGACAACATTATAGGCCATCAAAGCATGACGACCTTCTTGAAATACCCGGATTTTTTCAAACTATCCAATTTTCTCTAATAGTAGTGCACCCTGGAGAGTCGAGTTGGTGTCTATTTTACCGTTTCCAAGCTTTTGCAGAAGCTCAACACTCTAATCCCCCACTAGATCTCATCGTCAGCTACATTTTCCGATCCCACATCGATAGGTTCTGATAAGCGGTTCTCGAGATTTCGAGCAATTTAGGCGAAGCAATTTAGTTGCACTACTATTAGAGAAAATACGGTATCCAATTTTTAAATCAAATCAACTCTTCGACGAGTTCACTTCGGCAACTTTATCACTCTAAGCAATAATAGAAAGTTCTTTTGGTTTCTAAACAATAATAGAAAGTTTTTGGTTTCATTAACTGAAAGCCAATAATATGACTCTTTTGTAGAATCCTTTGTAGTAATAATATGACTTTAATTGAGTAATTTTTTTCAGCAAACTCCCCTCCATCTGTTTCATATTCTGATGGCAGAGCTCCTCTGGCAATTCCCGAAGAATTGACCCGTTCCACATCCACATCGATCATGTCAAATAGCATGTCACCTGAAAGAACAATCAATTCTTCAGAGGTAAAGTCTTTTAGAAAAAGCCATTCAAGTAAAATTCTATCTCGTTTTCGAAAGTTTTTCAATCTCTGATCGATCAATGAGATCAACAATGAGAACTTGTTGATCAATTTAAGATCAACAAGTTCCACAAGTCCACAAGTCGTTTAAAAGTTGATAAAATGCTACTTTTATCTATCTGTTTACCTATTTAATTTGAACAGAAGATTATTTTAATGTTTTAGAAGAGAATCTCTAACACCGAGCAAAGCTCTGTGAGGACCGAGAGAAGTGTCGAGGTTTGTCGATTGGGAGTAGAGTGTTCCTCTCGGGAACGTTTTCTAAAATCTGCCAATTTTCGATAGCTACCGTAGTCTTATTTATAGTTTTTATCGAATCGATCTAACCTACAAGGTACAAAGTAGACTTGTAACAAAAACATCTGTCGGTTCTTTTTCCATTGGCAATTTAAGGTTTCTCGTATTTTTCTCAGCATCAACCCATCGGCTTTGACTATTTTGACTATCATTCGATGCAGAACAAAATTGCGCGTCGAATGATATTAAAAACAACTCCAAATCTGATATCCATGCAAAGTTATTGGCTAAAAACCTAAACCCCACCCATTACCACCTTTTGCTTCATAACTTTGCATGGATATTAGATTTTGAATTGGTTTTGGTATCATTCAATGCGCAATTTTGTTCTGCATCGAATGATAATCAAAATAGCCAAAATAGATGGGTTGGTGCTGAGAAAAATACGAGAAACCTTACATTGCCAACAGCAAAAAGAATCGACAGATGTTTTCGTTACAAGTCTACTACAAATGATGCCAAGAAATGCAAAGGGATAAAAAATAAAGACTTTGACTGTTTCGATTTGACTGACAAGTTTATGGTCGTCGAAAAAGTTGCTTAGAAAGTTGCCTAGAAAGTTTCTTAGAAATCGTATTACTCAGGAGTAACTTATCAAGACACAAATCCCAACTTTAGACAATCCACGATCCGAAACGGGATCACTCCCTTTCGGATACAATTCGTCTCTCTTTCCCCCTCGATTCCCATCCTCAATCCGATCCTCCATCACCGCAAACCAGTCAATCACAAATCTTCGATGCACTTTGTGGATCGGTTGGTGAAAGCTAAGAAAATCGATGAAAAATTGGCACTAGATTAAGAGAAAAAAAGATGGCTTTGAATCGTATTGTTTCATAGAAATAATCAAAAGTCTTGGAAGGAGCTCTTCCACATAGAAATCGTCTTTCTCAAATCATTTTTCTACGACACTTAAGATCTGCAGTGTTTTTCCCGAATGCGTCATTAGAAAATAACGTTACCGTTATGTTTTTTAAGAAAAATGCAAATTTATGGTCAATTTTTTGGAGGATGGCTACTTTCTGCTAAATTTTTTGCGCAACTCGTCATAACTTTCTTCTAAGTTGGTTAATCTTTATGATTTTTGTGTCATTTTGTTGCAATTGTTGAGATCTACACCTACAATACGATCTACATCTACAATACGATCTACATCTACAATCCGATCTACATCTACAATCCGATCTACATCTACAATACGATCTACATCTACAATACGATCTACATCTACAATACGATCTACATCTACAATACGATCTACACCTACAATCCGATCTACATCTACATAACGATCTACACCTACAATCCGATCTACATCTACATAACGATCTACAATACTAAATTATCAAAAATTGACTCACTTAGAAGAAAGTTATGGCGAGTTGCGGAAAAAATTTCGCAGAAAGTAGCGCCAATCTTTTTCAGCCGCGCGTGTGTTCTTGTACTTGTCGTCGTAACTATAATAACTATAACAAACGATAACTAAAGCATTAAATTGCGCAATTGCATCATTTTAACTCGCCGTTTCAATGAGTCACAATGGAATCCGACAATTTTTAGACCCATGAGCCCTTTAAATACCCTCCCGCGCCATGCCTTTAAAGATATTCCATTGAGAGTTGGAGGGATAGGTTGCCTGCCCTTTACAATCTTGAAACATTCTATTAAATCCGTGACCAAGCGGTGTCTAAGAGATAAGGAATGTGATAATTTTTGATCAGAAAGATGTGCCTAAGTGCTTTGAAAGAAAAACTGAAAAGAGCTTGTAAAGATATTGATTTTGAACAAAGTTATGAGTTTCTAAGTGTGAGAAACCAGATAGAAAACGATCTTTTTAAGGCTTTTAGAGAAATCAAAATCTAGATGTGAAAACATTGGTTTTTTTTGTGTTGTACTTTGCAATATATTCATGATCTAACCTTGCTAGTGTTTTTTATATATAAAGCAAACGTTTAACGGGGTGCTGGAGTTGATGAGTCATCAAATGCAACTGTACCAAGGCGCAAATCAGTTTCCCACAAAAAAGTTCCTCATTTTGCTGAAGCAGGGGCCTATTTTGATCCAATATCCCGTATTTATTCCAATTGATTTATTAAAATTCATTCCAATTTACGCTATTCCTATCTCATCCAAATTCAGGAAAGCTTCCGCGGGACGAGACGCATTCCATCGACCACCTCGATGGGAAGTGAGAGCACGGCCGCATCGACTTGCTCGCTGCCATTGATCAGCCAAATCTCCACCACTCCACCGTCATCGAGTAGCCCGCAAAAGGAGCCGTCGACGAAACAGATTAGGTATTCATTTGACTTGATTTGTATTCGATGGACAAGTTGAATGTAAGAGAATCAGTGTAAGAAGTTGAAGCTTGAAGCTTTTCCATTTCAGCACCGACACAAGCAGCTCGATTGAGGTTAAAATGAGAGGGATCTCGTTGAAAGGAATGAATGGATTAAACGGAAATGAAACGGCTAGATCATTGAATGAAACAGCTGAATGGAATAAGGTACTCCTTTGCCATAACACCCAACGCCTCACCCATGTGCTTTTTCTTTCACTCGCTTTGTTTTGATGCACGTTTACGTCTCGATTTATTTTTCGGGTATTGAATCGGACAGGGAGGTTAGATTTGATCGTTTACGCGAGGAAAGCTTTATATTTGATCTCATCTTTTGATGCTTTTGAGCTTTTGATTAGTTACGCGAGGAAAGCTTTATACTTAACAAAACTAGTTAAACTGTAAAAAAGAAGTAAAGAAGGCAAGGAAAGTGAAGGCAAGAAAAAGTAGATTTCTGGAGAGGAGGTCGAACCCTCAACCTTCTGCTCTAACCACTGAGCTATCCGGTACCTTCACTTGCCAAGAGAAAGAGGGAAAGACAAGAGAGAAGAAAGGAAGAAAGACTAACTAGACATATAATGCAAAGATATAAAGCTTGCACTCAGATCTATGATTGGGCTACAGTAGCCAGGACTACACTAGCCAGGACTACACTAGCCAGGACTACACTAGCCAGGACTACAGTAGCCAGGACTACAGTAGCCAGGACTACAGTAGCCAGGACTACAGTAGCCAGGACTACAGTAGCCAGGACTACAGTAGCCAGGACTACAGTAGCCAGGACTACAGTAGCCAGGACTACAGTAGCCAGGACTACAGTAGCCAGGACTACAGTATAGCTTTATTTTACTTGATTATGGTAGTCAGGGCATACTTTAGTCGAGTACTCTAGTCAGAAAAGTGTACAAGTCTTGGCTTTGCCTTTTCAGTGAAAACTTTATAGTAATCTGGTGTCGATAAAACGGTAAATGACTCATAAAAAGCTAAATCTGGCCTCCCTGTCCAAATGAGATCAAAGCCAGATTCAAACATTGTCCACATTCTCAGATCAACGCGATTCTCGGCTCATTCGGCGGTGCTGTTTGTCGGGAGTCCGTGTTCGCCTCTCGTTACGAGCCCCAAGTGGCCGTTTTCCTTCGCGATCGTCACTCTCGTGCTCTGACCATCCAGAAGAAGCTCTGCTCCCCCTTTGAAGTCTCTCCTTCTCCGATCCCATCCTCCTCTTCTTCTCCTTCAAATCCCTCTCGTCGTCTCTCCACCCCTCCTCGCACCTCTCAATCACCGCAACCGGTGCCCACTTTTTTTTACTTCTTCTTTCTTTTGTCTATGTTTAAGTCAAAAAAAGGAGGGATTGTTTGAAAGGATTGTTTGAAAGGAACTGCTTGAAAAACTGCTTGCAGTAAAGCTAGGACTTGACTTTAGACTTGATTAGGGTTGGCATATAAAAGCTAAAAGCCAAAGCAAAGCCAAAGCAAAGCCAAAGCAAAGCCAAAGCAAAGCCAAAGCAAAGCCAAAGCAAAGCCAAAGCAAAGCCAAAGCAAAGCCAAAGCAAAGCCAAAGCAAAGCCAAAGCAAAGCCAAAGCAAAGCCAAAGCAAAGCCAAAGCAAAGCCAAAGCAAAGCCAAAGCAAAGCCAAAGCAAAGCCAAAGCAAAGCCAAAGCAAAGCCAAAGCAAAGCCAAAGCAAAGCCAAAGCAAAGCCAAAGCAAAGCCAAAACAAGGCTAACAAGGGAAAGACAACATTAAAATGAGATCGCCATAGAACAGAATTTCACGCTGATTCCGAATCTGCTTTCCCTTTTGCAAAATGCTCGAGTTTGATTCCTTTTTTTGATAAAACTATTCTTTTCCTTTCCTAGCATAGAAATAGCCCTGTTTTTGAGCCATAAATCAGAAATAAAACATTATTTCATATAGTTACTATTAGACATTGACATTTGGTCTAGTTTACGATAGAATTTGGGATTTAGAACAACCCTGATTCTGCTCTGATCCTTTATCTAACGGCTTTAGGCTGAGAAATTGAAAAATAAGACACTAATAAGGTTTAACTAATCAAACAAAGTTTTATCTTTGGTCTGACTCTACTTTTCGGAAGACTTTTAACTTTTAAAGTATCAAAACCTGAAAAACTCTAATCCACCTTTCAAAGAATCCCTCCGAAGTCTATGTTCTAAGCACAAGATTTATTTTCCGAGATTTGTTTAGCTAGTTAGTACGAAAGTTGAAAGTTTCTATCTGAAATCTTCTTTCAGAAGCCATTGAGCGTTCCTGATTGGTTAAACATCGTTGTCGGTGTGCCACAGCCAAGAGCAATCGATGCGGGCAAAGTTCTCGTTGATCGCGGCTTTGACAAGAGCAGCCAAATGGTGGGTTTAACGTGAGAAATGCTCATTTTGAGAAATGGAATAAGTATTTTTGAACTACAAGTTTTCAACTAATTTCTTGCCCTGCTTTTCCAATCCGATATAGAGATCATCGAATGAGTTTTCTAGAACGTGGCAACTTTTGAAAACGATTGCGGTCTTTAGTTTTTGTCCGATCATTTTATACCTTTTGACCCTTTTTGAAGGGTTTGAGACATTTGATACGGGCCCCGCTCACTTTGCCATTGGCAATCCAACTTTGAACTCCAATATCTTGGTGTTGAGTTGATCAATTTTAATAGTTTTTATATCAAACGGCAGAGAAAGACTTGGCGTATCTAATGATACCAAGAATATCTAAATTGGACACCCCATCATCAAGATATTTGAGTTCAAAGTTAGATTACCAATGGCAGAGGGGCGGGACGCATATAAAAGGTCTTTCTGGCCCCGCCCCTTTTTGAACCCTCACAGAATCCGCACAGAATCACCAAAAGTAGATTTGCTAAATCTGGAGGCAAGATTACGGTTGTTTGTCAAAAGGGGCACGTTTTAGAGAGCAGAAACATAGATATAGTAATCCGTCGGGGCTGGGCTGGCCCAAGCCAAAGCTAAGGCCAAAGCTAAGCCTACGAATGTTTGCATAGCTTTTAAACTTGATCCAATTTAGCAAAAGATTACCAACTTTTGCAATCTTCCAGAAAATCTCCCTCAACCGTGCACTCCTTCACGAGATCGGCATCGACAAAGTGACTCAAGGCGAGCTTCTCAACTATTTGGAGACCATCGACTTCGAGACAACTTCTGCAAGTGGGGGAAATGTGTCTTTTGCATTGATAACTTTTTCCAATTTCCCTAGATTCATTCAACTATATCTCCGACTGGTTGTGCTCTCTCGAATTGACCGATTATTTGGGAAATTTTCTTTCAAACGGCTTCAAATCGATGCTCATCGTGCGCGCGGCCGAGTTGAACACGAAAAAGTTGAATGTGAGTTGAGATCGATGGAAAGATGAGTGAAAGAAGATTTCTTTTGTTTTATAATTGATATGAAGGGATATGAAGGTCGTAAAATTTCAGGAAATGGGTATCACAAAGCCTGGGCATATCCATCGAATTCTCGGCTCTTTGGCTCGCGCTCGCGACGAAGAGAAAAGGGATACAATGGAGAGGAAAGAGAAATTGAAGAAACAGATTGCTCTTGAGAAAATGAGGTTTGTAAAGACCTTAGAAGTGTACAGAAGTGAACAGAAGAATACAGAAATTAGGCTCTCCAGAAAAACTTTTCGTTTCTTTTCGTATTTTCGTTTAAAACCAATAAATGCACTAATTGAAAGGCACTAATTGAATTATTTTCATATTTTTCTTGTGTTTTTGCTACCATTTCCACAAGATCTCATAAAAATGATCGTCCCAAAGATCACCATTGACGCCGTTTCTCATCCTATACTGTCTTTTCAATTGACTCCAAAGGGATCAGCAAGTTAAACGACTTCATTTCTAGCCTATTAGCCGTTTGAAGATCCTCAATTTCTAAACAAACGTGGATTAGAAAGTCAAAATAAAAAAATTAAAGTTAGATCAAAGCCTTGAAACTATTGGGTTGGTGAATTGAAAACTGCGGGACTTTGAACTAAAATTTATTGCATATAAAGCCATCAATTGATTCCAAATAATTTCCATTATTATTGACGACTTCTGCCCATTTTACAGGCAATTTGCGGATTCCTCTTTCGTAGTAGGATTTTGGTTTATGTGTGAGACAAGTGTGAGACTCAAAAATCCAGGACCGGAGATGGAGACTGGAGATCCCAGTTTGAGCACTTTCTTCAAAAGAAACCCATTTTGGTGTTAATAGAAAAGTTGTAGAGAATCAAAAATTAGGCATAGTATAGCCAAATTTCCAAAAAGATACACTTAGTAGTTTCGCTTAAAATGCAAGTTTTGTGAAAATTTGGCATTTCTTTCTTAAATTTGGCATTTCTTTGAAAACCAGTTTTTGAATCGTTCTGAAAATTTGGATATAAGTTTGATTTTTGATTCTCTGCAACTTTTCTATTGACAACAAAATGGGTTTCTTTTGAGGAAAGTGCTCAAACTGTCACATATGACAATAGCCCGCAGTTTTCAATTCACCAACCCAATATATTAATCGAATGATTAGAAAAACGGCTTTTATCTGTTATGGGTTAAAGTTTAAAAAGAATAGCTCAATTAACAAGTACAAATTTTAGAACTTATTGGAAAATTTGATTTCAGCTCTCCAATTCCTCCACCGGGCGATCAAATCGATTATTCTCAAACGGCTACTTTCAGCGCTCATTACTTGGGAAGTGTCGAGATCTCGAATATTGATGGAACTGAGGAAAGTCGACGAGCTATGAATAAATTAAAGGTTGCGGTGATGAAAGAATACAGATTTATTATTTATTGTAAACTTTAGCGTCAAATCCGAGAGATCGCCAAGGTCCCACAGGTTCATTTGGAGATTTCAGTGGATGGAGTGAATGTGAGTGGGATTTTCAGAAGAAAAGTCGATTCAAAGGATCATTACTTTTTAGGTGCATGATGCGACGACAAAACGAACGATGACCTCTCATCCGATCAGTCAAATTCAAATCGTTTGCCAGGATGAGCGAGATCTCAACTGTTTTGCCTACATTACCCAGGATATCGATCGCAATTTTGCGCATGTGTTTTGCGTGTTGACAGCGGTGAGTAGGGAAAGGGATTCAATGGTTTCACCCAATAGTTTCCACTTTCTGACACTTCTCACCCTTCTGCTTGAATTTAAAGCTTCTTTGGTGTTAAGTACCAGAGCTCTTTGTCAAAAACCTCTTTGTAAAAAGTAAAAATCAAAATTTAAGAGCTTGCCTTTAAGAGAATAATGATGGCTTTCCAATATTTCAATGTGACTTTGGTAATGGAAATAGGGAAAAGGGAATTGCCTCTAATTGTAAGCCTGTAAGCCTGGATCAGAGTCAAAAGCTAGGCATAGCTAGGCAAAGCTAGGCAAAGCTAGGCAAAGCTAGGCATAGCTAGGCAAAGCTAGGCATAGCTAGGCAAAGCTAGGCAAAGCTAGGCAAGGCTAGGCATAGCTAGGCATAGCTAGGCACAGCTAGGATTTTAGAGGCTACCAGCTATACTTTCAATTGCCCATTCAGCTGAATATCTTCAAGTTTTGTGGGGGAATTTCAAACAAAAGGGGCAGCTATGAAAAACCTACGCAGAAAAAGGGGCAGGGCTTCGTAGCTTTCATAGCTGTCCCATTTGTTTGAGTTTTTCCGTAAAATTAAAAGATATTCAACTAGAGCTTAGGGGGACACTTTGAAAGCTGAAAGCTGAAAGCCTACTAAAAACCCGCTTAACGGTGGGTTTTTGGGGGTTGGGGCGCTTTGTTTTGAAGCTTTTGTGGTGCCTTCGGGGCTCGGTCGTGGCACAATCGGGAGCGAGCCGGTCTACGGCCCATACGATCCGGGTTCGACTTCCGGCTGTCATGACTTTTGTTTTTTAAAAAACGAAATATGAGATGCACAACTATATAGAATTCTAAGTCTAAGAGACTAAAAATCATGTAAATCGGCTCACGGTGAGCCGTACAGACGGACGGACACTTTTTATATATGTTACGTCCGATCTAGAATCGTCTGGATCGTCTAACTCTGGATCGGATGTCTAGAGTGAAGTGAGATCCAACGTCCGATCTAGAATCAGTCTAGATTGAACGGATTTCTAGATCAGACGATCAGACGATTAGACGAATTTCTAGATCAACTTACAAGCTTACAACTATAGTAGACTATTGGTCAAGAATACAACAAGACTGGCTTTGTTCTATCCCAAGGATCAGCGACTGATTCCAACTGATTTTTAATCGAATAGTGTGTGTCACTTGTACCAATTTAGCACTAGAAAAATCAAAGCCGAATAATAATGGTTTCTTTTAGAATAATTGCAGTAAACTGAGTGACTTGATTTCAGGATGTGGCCACGGAGATCATCATGACATTGGGCAGCGCTTTCGAGATGGCCTACAATCTCCAACGCACAAAACGGCGATCACAAACAGAGCCCGAGAATGGGCAAGGCTCTGTCGAAGAAATCTCTGATGTTTAACGTTGACCATAGTTCTTTCTGACTCAATCAAATTCAGCTCTCACCAAACCTCAAACCCAAATTTGTCTTTTTATTTCTGATTCCCTTGCATTCGATTCATTACAGCCGGTCTTTTTTTGCATGTTTCGATACTTTTCAAATTTCTATGCATTTCCGTTTTGAGAATAAATTTATGATTAAATTTGAGTTGATAAAAGCACCGAATCAAGTGGAACGATGGAGTTGGCAAGGTTGAACGATGGAGTGAGCAAGGATAAGAAATCAAAAAAAGCTATCTGATAACTTGGACTATGTAAATACTATGGACGGGAGGAGTGCGATTAGATTAAAGTCTAGAATATGACTATAACGTGATAACTAATATGAGATAAGAATACATAGTGCTAGTAGGAGTACAGGAGACAGTACAGAGCTACCATTAAGACTCCAACCCTTTCCTTGATTCCTTGGGAGTGCTGACGGGGGATTGTTTGAAAGATGAAAAGTCCACTTTCCGCTGAAATTTGTGCAGATTTTTATCTAAATTGCAACTGTAACTTTTAAGCACACAACTGCCTCAAGACAAAGCTTAAATAAGATTTTAACTAGGGTTTTTAAGTACACAAGCTACGACAAACGGACAAATGAATATCGTCTGGTGGCTGATTACCATCGAACGAAGCTCGAATCCGCCCATGATGGTAGCTTATCCATCAGCTTTGAATTTTAACTTGTGTATTGAATTTTGACTAACTGCAGAGCAGTGGCAATTCGCCACAGTCACTTTGTACAAACAGACGCACCAACGCAAGACGCACCAACGCAAGACGCACCAACGCAAGACGCACCAACGCAAGACGCACCAACGCAAGACGCAAGATTGATGACTTTTAGAAAGTACTGAGAGACTTTGGAATACTCATTATAGATTTCTACACTCAACTCTTGCAAAAGTTAACATTATTAAAAGAGAATCGAGTCAATCGTCTAACACTAGTTAACCAGCAAACAAACCCGATCCACTCAAAAATGATCCACCGCGAGAAATCGTCACTTTTCCCTTCGCTTCGTCTCCGAACTTGTAGCTCGAAATACGGCCATTCCGAAGAGGCAAAACGCTAAATTTACTGATCTGATAAATTACTGATCATTCACCTTTTCTGATCATTCACTGTTTGATTTTCTTAAAGTTTTTATTTCTCACCGTTTTGTGATCGATCAGCATACTCGCGGCTCGTGGACCTCGAAAAGTGATGCAAACTCGTTGCATGGTGATATTCTTAATCGAAAACCATTTCTAAAATGAGTGAGTCCACGGAAAACTTGAAGAGAATCTAGTTTTAAAATGCTTTTTTGCTAAAACTTTTTTGCTAAAACGAGTAATGCTTTTTCTAAAAGATGAACAAGCTACCATAATCTTTCCTTCGGATTTTCTTTCTTCTCTACTTAACTTATTCCCATTCAATTCAAAGTTTGATTCTCATAGAATAAAACTAAAGTAGATTTCTCTACTAAAGTACGGTATTTCTCATATTGTTCACCTTTTAAAAAGCGTCAGATAGATGGCCTAGCTTCTGGCCGTCTCCTGGTCAGCTTTGCGGGTCAAACAAGATAGATCAAACAAGATAGATCAAACAAGATCATGTTCTGATTTCTAGCTCGATACTGGTACTGATTGAATAAGAAGTTTCTGGGCTAAGCCAGTTTCTGCGCTAAGCCAAGTCAAAACCATGTTATTAGAAATTGCTCTCGTTGGACCCATCATTGACGCCTGAATATCTCGGAGTTGTGCTTGGAGTGGCTCGAATTGGTCATGCAATCACGACAATTCTCTTCAGTTATTGGAGACAAAAAGCAAAAACGACAAAGTAAGGAAAAGCTGGAGAAATTTGTGCTAACCAAATCGTTACGAACTACTGTATTTATTCTGATAAATGCCGACCCCCTCGACCAACTTTAGACACTTCGTTCTCAACCCCATTTTGAGAGATTTTTTTATTTAATATGTCAAAATATAGCCCTTATTGTCTTCTATCTTTTGGTATATTAAACATAAAAATATCTCAAAATGGGGCTGAGAACGAGATGTCTAAACTCAAAGGCGTCTAAACCCTCCTCGATCAACTTTAGACATCTCGTTCTCAGCCCCATTTTGAGATACTTTTATGTTTAATATGTCAAAGTATAGAAGACATTAAGGGCTATCTTTTGGTATATTAAACATAAAAATATCTCAAAATTGGGCTGAGAAAGAGGCGTCTAAAGTTGGTCGAGGGGGGCAGCGTTTATTAGAATAAATACGGTAAGCCTTTATGCTAACCAAGTTGCTTACTTTTTGTCAGCATGACTTTGAGTTTTAAAAAACACGAACCAAGGTAGAATTAAAATAGAATTAAAGTAGAATTAAGGTAGATGAAGATCGAATTAAGGTAAAAACAAGCTGATTTTAGACAAGGTCTCCTTTTGGGTCGTCTCGGCGATGCACTTGCTTTTTCTTTATATTGTGCAATCGAAATGTTCGGTTCAACGAAACGCTATGTGTTTCTGATTGTTTATTTTATTGTCTACAGTTTTGGATTTGGTATTTTTCTCAAGAAAAAAGAAAATGTGAAAAAAATTCTGATAAATGCCGACCCCCTCGACCAACTTTAGACGCCTCTTTCTCAGCCTCATTTTGAGATATTTTAATGTTTAATATGTCAAAATATAGCCCTTATTGTCTTCTATCTTTTGGTATATTAAACATAAAAGTATCTCAAAATGGGGCTGAGAACGAGATGTCTAAACTCAAAGGCGTCTAAACCCTCCTCGATCAACTTTAGACTCTAGTTGCTAATGATGCTCTAGTTGCTAATTATGCCCTAGAATCCTTTACGGCATTTGAAGCAGTGTAAAATGCGCAGAAAGTTCATCTTTTGTGATACCTTATATAATATTATCATTGAAAAAACGACCGTTGTCGGATTGTCCTCGAGTTTTCTCATTTCTCGATCCAACAACACGACTCTGATCCCAAAATCCATTGGTTTCATCGCTCCGATCTTGATCATTGCCCAGTCTCGTTGCTGATTCTTTAGCGTGAAATGGAGTAAAGTTTGATCGAATTTTATATCTAGAAATTGTACTTTTGAGTGCTTTTTTTCAAACCACTTGTCATTGTGAGCGATCTTGTTATTTCCATATCATCGAAAGACTCAACCATCGAACGAAGCTCGAATCCGCCCATGATCGGCCGTTCCACAGTGAATGCGGCGATCCATTTCGAGCTGACAAAGAAAAACTCGGTACTCATTTTCAATTCTGATCTGAACGAACGTTTCCCGATTCCATCTGAAGACGAGCCAACACAGTTTGATCAACGGACCACCATCAGCGTAATCGAATCGAAGCTCTACCCAAGGGAAAAGTCCCATTCTTGGATTCTAAAGCCACAAAAACTGATTGTCTAAACGCCCCGCTGCTCTGCCATTGGCAATCCAACTTTGAACTCTAATATCTTGGTGTTGAGCTGTCCAAATTGAATAGTTTTTGTACCAATCGATAGAGAAAGACTTGGCGTATCTAATGATACCAAGAATATTTAAATAGGACAAACAAAAGCCGAGATATTTGAGCTCAAAGTTGGATTGCCACTGGCAAAGGGGTGGGACGCGTATCAAATGTCTGATAACCCTTCCAATATGCCTTTCTCTATCGATTGGTACAAAAACTGTTTAAATTGGACGGCCCAACACCAAGATATTTGAGTTTAAAGTTAGATTGCTAATGGCAAAGGGGCGGGGCGCGTATAAAAGATCCCGTAATGGCCCGCCTCCTTTGCCATTGGCAATCCAACTTTGAGCTCAAATATCTTGGTGTTGGCTGTCCAATTTAAATAGTTTTTGTACCAATCGATAGAGAAAGACTTGGCGAATCTAATGATACCAAGAGGATGTAAATTGGACAAACGAAAGCCGAGATATTTAAGCTCAAAGTTAGGTTACCAATGACAAACGGGGCGGGCGTATCAAATGTCCGATAACCAAAAAAACTTGGAGGCTAAGAGATTACAGTAATCGATCGATGCACCTATTTAAAAACTACCGTAATCAAGTGGTCATTACATAGTTCTCTAAAATAGATGCATGCTAGAAAATGCATAAAACTCAGGATAGTAAAATTGACTTTTCCACTCACCTCAGCCCATTCATCCAGAATCTCTCTTGTCTGTGCACTCGAGAAGTCAAAAGTCAACTCTCTCACGCCTCCACTTGCCTCGAAACAAACGGTGTGCTTGTTCTAAAATTTCCCTATCCGTTTCTATTCAAATAAGTTAGGATTTCACTTTTTTGCTGATTTTCTCAAATCCACGAAACGCCGCTCCTCGACACTCCCATTTAATGATCTTCATCGAAATCCTCTTTGCTTTCTTATTTTGCAGCTTAAAAAGCAACTGTTTCCCTTCGAAACAGACATCTGAAAAGGAAATAATTGAATAATAAGTTGAATGGTACTGTAAACTCCAGCTTTTGTCAACTACAGTATGCCGTTACCTCCGAATCCGACCCGGCGATCAGATTGGATCCGGATCCGAGCCGGACGTTCGAATCCGACACGGCGATCAGATTGGATCCGGATCTGAGCCGGACGTTCGAATCCGACCCGGCGATCAGATTAGATCCGGATCCGAGCCGAACGTCCGAATCCGACCCAGCGATCAGATTGGATCCGGATCCGATCCCAACGTCCGAATCCGCCTAAACTTTGCTATAATGTCAGACTAGGACGTCCAAATCCCAACTAAACCTTTTATAACTTTAAATGCAAGTTTATAAAATTAAACCCAAATTTCTCGCCATTCAAAATATCAAAAAAAATAAAGTTTATCAGGAACAACAAAAATATCATAAAAAATAAGATTAATGGTTTCATTTCGGGAGAAAAAAATGAGAGCAGTTATCAGGGTTTTAAGAATTAGCAAAAAAAGTATATTGCGCTCAGAACTACAATTATGTTGCTTGCTGGGGCTGTTTTCGATTCGAATAAGACGAAAAAAGAAGAGCACGTGTGGAAGAGCATATAAAGAATTATAGACTTTAAGAAAGTTAAAAAGAAAAATGGCAAATTTCGATTCGAATTATTATAGAGCTTGTATTTCAAATTATCAAAAAGTTTAGGTTGGATTCGGACGTTCGAAACGGATCCGGTTCGGGTCTGGACGTCCGAATCCGACCTAACCTTTTAAGGTCAGATTCGGACGTCCGTCCTGATCACCGGATCGGATCCAATCTGATCGGCGGATCGGATCCAGTCTGATCCACCGAAATCTCCAAATGAACCGGTGGGAATTTGGCGATCTCTCGGATTTGGCGCTAACGTTTACAATAAATCTGTGTTCTTTCATCACCACAACCTTTAATCCAATCCAATCTGATCACCGGATCGGATTCAACCAGATCGCCGGATCGGATCCAATCAAATCCCCGGATTGGATCCAATCAAATCACCGGATCGGATCCAATCTGATCATCGGATCAGCTCCAATCAGATCACCGAATCGGATCCAATCAAATCATCGGATCGGATCCAATCTGATCGCTGAATCGGATCCAATCTGATCGCCGGATCGGATCCGAACGTAACCTGAAATTTCAGGCTCACCATTATACAGGGTGTCCCAAAAGCTCTTATACCTTTTCTGTAAGCAGTAACCTTTTGCGAAAGTTTACTTAAACTTTGTAGAATGAATTTTTTGTTTTTCAAAAACTATTGTTACCATTTGACAGACCTAAGGTTTTGCTTGAAAACAAGCCACAAACGAATTTTTTTCCCTCAAAAGCGAAAGACTTTCAAACAATTTTAGCGCATGGCACGCAAATTTCAAAAGAAAGAACAAAAGAAAGAACACTGTACAAATTTTCATCAAAAAGTTGTTTAGAGTTGCAACTTTTATGCAGAAAAAAATATAGTAGAGATAAAAATACCTGAATCTTCATAATCTGACGTTATTTTTTCAAAAATCGCGTCTTTTTCCGAGTCAAACTGTCTGTTTACAAAAAGTATGACACTCTGTAGGACCAGAGTTGGGACACTCTGTAGGACCAGAGTTGGGACACTCTGTAGGACCAGAGTTGGGACACTCTGTAGGACCAGAGTTGGGACACTCTGTAGGACCAGAGTTGGGACACTCTGTAGGACCAGAGTTGGGACACTCTGTAGGACCAGAGTTGGGACACTCTGTAGGACCAGAGTTGGGACACTCTGTAGGACCAGAGTTGGGACACTCTGTAGGACCAGAGTTGGGACACTCTGTAGGACCAGAGTTTGGACTACAGAGTCTACACTCTGTAGAACCAATTTCTATTCAGCTCTCAAAATAGTAACCAAAAGGTGATGCTTATTGTTCCAAATACTTATTGTTCCAAAACTTTACTTTTTACAAAGATTTGTGCATAAATTGGTTACCTTTTATTGCCAAATAATTGCCGACAATTCTCGTAAGGCCAAGCTCCGACTCATCATAATCCAACGAAGCATAACCACGCCAGGTGAATGGTAGATCAACTGGTTTGGATTGCTGGACTTGTAATTGACTATCTTTGTCCCTTGCAAACCTGGTGCTTTGTTGTGATTTTGTAGATTGGTCGAACGACACAGATTCGTGGAATGAATGCTTCCTGGTGTTCAATTGAAGTTAGGCTAATTGAAGCTTTCAGTTCTTCTTTCTCTATCACATCAAATGGTTTCGCAATGATCTTGTTGAGCTTTTCTTGTTGATATTTCGCGTCAAATTGAGTGAAGAAAACTTAAATGCGATTATTCGATTTTCTCAGAGTTCCCAGAGTCTCAGAGTTCCCAGTCTCAGAGTTTCTCAGAGTTCTCAGAGTTCCCAGTTCCCATGCACTTGCCAAAAAGTCACTGTTTGATTCCAGAATCCGTTTTCAAACAAACATCCAACTTACAAGATAAGATTTGATCAAAATTTCCTCAAAATTGAGTCCTCTATAAAATCAGATGAAATAAAATAGTGACTTTTGGCGCTTGGTTACAGAAAAGAAGGTGATTGATGATTGATTTTTGTCAAAATCGATTCCTCTCTAGTCATTACTTTTACTTTCATTACCGTAACGAACAAATGGCATCGAAAACAGGAGTGGGACAAATGCGACCTTTTTTTTCCGCACTTAGCCCATTAGCGCACCTTTTTTCGCATTTTAAGAAAGCTCTAAAAAGCTAATATTAACCAATTTCTATTTCAAAAGTTGTTTTTCTAGGTAATTTTAGAGCGTAGAATCGAAATTTTGACATATCAGAGCTTGTGGAAGCGAATGGACGGAGTTATACAAAGAGAAAGATCGACAATTTTCTGTTTTGTCTTTCAAATTGGTTCCACAAGCTCTGATATGTCAAAATTTCGATTCTACGCTCTAAAATTACCTAGAAAAACAACAGGAATGGAAATTGGTTAATATTAGCTTTTTAGAGCTTTTAGAGCTTTAAAACGCGAAAAAAGGTGCGCTAATGGGCAAGGTGCTTTGTTTTGTAGCTTGTTAGCTGAATATCTTGTGTGAAGTTGCCTATATAAGGCAACTGTTGTTCATTTGATGAGGGTGGGACAAATGCGACCTTTTTTTTTGCTGGAAAAGGCCTTAGGCAAGGCCGTAGAGCTTCGAAAATATTTCCATATAAAGGAATCGTATGCGTAGATTCCGAATTTCAAAAAAAGGTGCGCAAATGTCCGGGTGCGCAAAAAAAGGTCGCATTTGTCCCACTCCCATCGAAAACTACTATTTTATTACAGATTCAACAAAAAATCAAATCCAAACAAATTAAAGTTTGCAGAAAACAAATCAAAAATCAGCCTTCACCCACCTCTTAATCCCCAATTGACCAAATCATAAATCAAATCATAAATCAAATCATAAATCAAATCATGAATCAAATCATAAACCAAATCGCCAAACTCGAGCACCAGCTCAGCTAATCGATCGATAAATTTATAAGCAACTTGTGCAATAAAGGGGAAAAGCACGAGTGAAAAGAGCAGATCCACAACACAAAACATCTCTCGAATGAATGATGAATCAGCAAAGATGTGAAGGGATGGACAGGGCTGGGAGGGACAACAGTCCTGAGCCCCTTTCCACCCTCCATTAAGCCTTTCTTTTCATATCTCCGTTTTTCATCTTTCATTCAATATTTCTTTATCCTCATTCATTGGATCATCATATTGGATTGTATTGAAGATGAAACAAATGCTCTTTACGGGAAAAAGTTAGTCTTTTGAATGTATTGGGTTGGTGAATTGAAAACAGCGGGCTATTGTCATATGTGACAGTTTGAGCACTTTCTTCAAAAGAAACCCATTTTGGTGTCAATGGAAAAGTTGCAGAGAATCAAAAATCAAGCTTATATCCAAATTTTCAGAACGATTCAAAAACTGGTTTTCAAGAAATGCCAAATTTAAGAAAGAAATGCCAAATTTTCACAAAACTTGCATTTTAAGCGAAACTACTAAGTGTATCTTATTGCAAATTTGGCTATAAGCCTAATTTTTGATTCTCTACAACTTTTCTATTGACACCAAAATGGGTTTCTTTTGCAGAAAGTGCTCAAACTGGAATCTCCAGTCTCCATCTCCAGTCCTCGATTTTTGAGTCTCACACTTGTCTCACACACAAACCAAAACCCTACTACGAAAGAGGAATCCGCAAATTGCCTGTAAAATGGGCAGGAGTCGTCAATAATAATGGAAATTATTTGGAATCAATTGATGGCTTTATATGCAATAAATTTTAGTTCAAAGTCCCGCAGTTTTCAATTCACCAACCCAATAGTTTCAAGGCTTTGATCTAACTTTAATTTTTTTATTTTGACTTTCTAATCCACGTTTGTTTAGAAATTGAGGATCTTCAAACGGCTAATAGGCTAGAAATGAAGTCGTTTAACTTGCTGATCCCTTTGGAGTCAATTGAAAAGACAGTATAGGATGAGAAACGGCCGAATGGTGATCTTTGGGACAATCATTTTTATGAGATCTTGTGGAAATGGTAGCGAAAACACAAGAAAATTAAAATGCCATTGGCTAAATTGAGGCCACGCGCATAGCCCCCAAAATGGCAGTAATCCCTCGTTTCAGGAACCGACCTAAACGACGAGCAGTATTGGATTGTGCGCAACTAGTGGGGAGCTAACTGGGGCGAACTCGGTTATCTCAGGGTGAGAGATTCAATTCTGAAACACTGATGATCAATTCTGAAAATTTTATGAACACACACAAACCAAAATCCTACTACGAAAGAGGAATCCGCAAATTGCCTGTAAAATGGGCAGAAGTCATCAATAATATTGGAAATTATTTGGAATGAATTCATGGTTTTATGTTGAATAAATTTTAGTTCAAAGTCCCGCAGTTTTCAATTCACCAACCCAATCATCAAACCTTTTTCTGATTTACAGTCGACTCTCGATGTAACGATTCTGTTGAGGCCGCGAAATCGAAACGTTATATCGAAAATCTTTGTATAGAAGTAAAAAAAGCTAAGGCTTTTAACGCAAATCGTTATATCGAGTTACAATGAACCGTTTATCAACAACAAAAACAAACATAACCTCGAAGTTTAGCGAAAAGATCTATAATGTGAGACTTCTTATTTTTCGTTAAAGATTCCTGATGAAAAAAAGTTATAAAGAACAGTTAAAGCAGCAAAAACTTCTGAATAGCCTTTTTTCTTGTATAGTTTTGAAATTTTTGAAAACATTGTTAAGCTTCGCGGCGTGAAATCGTTCGTTCTGGTTCCACCAACTCCTCGTTTTCACTTTCGAGAGGAATTGTCGGCTCCTCGAAGTATTTTATGGTATTTGTAAAGAAATATTCTTTGCTACGAGAGAAGAGTGTTACATCGAACTCGCTTAGAAAATTTTTGAAGTAAACTTTGAAAAATCTATATCAAATCTGTATCAAATCATCAACTCAAATCTGTATTAACGATTTTAACAACACTAACCAAAAGGATAGTTTTCGGGTGATATGACAAAGAAAAGCATATCGTGAACTTAATCAAATAAGCGTAAACGACAAAAAGGTCACAAAAACAATGGACAAAAGTCTTGGCGGCACAGACATAGAGGTGAAAAATTCATATTTTGTAGGTCCGCCTTTAGCTGCAATGACCGCTTGGAGCCTCTGTCATACCGTCAACTAGATCGCGTAAAATTTGTGGCGCAATTGTCGCTCAAACTCGCCGTACGAAGTACCAAAGATCCGCCTTAGAGCTAAACCGTCTTCCCTTGAGTTTCGTCTTGATAAACGCCCATAGGTGTTCAGTAACATTCAAATCGGGGCTGTATGGAGAAGCTGAAACGAGTTGATCATTGATCAATCATTGATCAATCATTGATCAATCATTGATCAATCATTGATCAATCATTGATCAATCATTTATCAATCATTAATCAATCATTGATCAATCATTGATCAATCATTGATCATCCTCGTTTAGTTTTTATTTAATTATTTGCACTCGTAGAATTTGCAAAGCATAATCTCCATTTATTTAACAGAAACAATAAATAAAATAAACATAAAAAAACTTCCTGTACCAACTTGTTTCACTTGCTTAAATTTTGAGTATCTCTAAGAGAAATATTTCTAAGAGTTACAGAGCTTTCTGGATTTGAAATTGATTTTGATTAAAGTGCAAGTGAAACCAAATGCTTTGCTGATTTGTTGAGAGATTTTCGTAATATTCGTTCCTAGCTATAAACGGATGTGGACTAGAAGTTGGGTTAAGTTAAAGAGAGTGGCTCCCTTTTTTGATATCCCGCCATCTCTAACACCCCGACAACCCAACTCAACTCCTCCAACGCATTAGAGGGGAGTCCCTGTGAAATGACCGACCTGTACTGCAGTTGCATAGACCCGGAAGATATGTATCTTTATTTACAGTAGTACAATAAGCCGAATAGATTACAAATGAGTGTAAGGGGAAGGGGGACTCCAAATGAGAGTCTCACTTGTCCTCCTAGGCTCCTCACTGTCCTCCTAGGCTCCTCACTGTCCTTCTAGGCTCCTCACTGTCCTCCTAGGCTCCTCACTTGTCCTCCTAGGCTCCCTCACTTGTCCTCCTAGGCTCCTTACTTGTCCTCCTAAGCTCCTTACTTGTCCTCCTAAGCTCCTCACTGTCCTCCTGGGCAATCCCAAGGACCGCCCCTTCTCGGCAATAAAAGGGATAAGCACAGGGGAGGACACATTTGCATAAGAATAGACAAATCATTCAATAATAACAATAGTAACAAAAATATCAGTTTGACTCGGAGCTGACAGTAATAAAGTTTTCTTTAATTCTATCAGTCTATCAAGCAAGAAGAAAAAGTCTATAAAGGTTAAATTTCAAAAACGTTGATTCGACAACCTTAAAAAGCCGGAAAACTCTGATATTTTTCCTTTATTGAGCATAAATTCGCACAGCTTTATCAATTCCGGATATTCTTGAGGCGTCTCTTTCTTCTTATCAATCACCGCTCACCCATTCGATTTCTTGCCTTTCTTTCTCTTTTTGGTTTTCATTTATGGGTCTCCTCCCGATTTTATTCGTCTATTTATATATTTCCTTTGCTTCCACACAACAAATCGAGGTCTACTAATTTACACTTGTAAAAAGTATTGTATTAACCGCATATTGGAAGGGTTATTGCCACCGTCCCGTTTGCCATTGGCATTCTAACTTTGAGCTCAAATATCTCGACTTTGAGTTGTCCAATTTAAATATTCTTGTTTTCATTAGATACGCCAAGTCTTTCTCTATTGATTGGTACAAAAACTATTTAAATTGGACAGCCCAACACCAAGTTATTGAAGTTCAAAGTTGGATTGCCAATGGCAAAAGGGGCGGAGTGCAATGTCCCATAATTTATTGAAATTGCTTTACACTCAAGGACATCTTGAACACATTTTAAATGCCAGATGTAGATTTGAAAATGAATTTCCCACGAATAAGTGTACTTTGTCCACCGTAGTCTCCAGTAAGGCCCTATCCTGATCTAACGTAATCAAATCTCTTTCACCAAAGGAGCCAGATTTGCTAGTTTTCTCAAAAAAGCATCTTTAAGTCTTATTAAGTTTCTATCTGTCTGATACTATAGTACAGTAAGCATCATATCGAGGAGTAAGGCTTAAGGCAGGCTACTCTGGCGGCAATGGGATACGTATCGGTGTAACTCATTGGTAGAGTGTTCGTCCGGTAAGCGAGAGGTCGCGGAACAGATAGAAACTTAATCCCGATCGTTCAAAACTCGGCCATGTTTTGTATTCTCAGCGCCAACCTCATAAGAGGACCCATAAAAGTGTCGAACTCTACCATCGATGTATCTAACTATCAGGATGGATATGACTCGGATGCCTATGAAACGATTCAAGTTGTGCCCTATGTTTCGGGGGTTCGACTAGAGAACATACCGGATGAGGAGCCGGCTTTTCTCGGGCACACGTAAGTTAAAAGAGCTGTAGATTTCGATTTGTTTTGTTTTGTGACTTGCTACAGTATGCTGGAACTGGTGAAATAGTTGAACAGTTGAACAGTTGAATAGCTATCGATGTATATGTCGTAGCCGTTTACGAAATTCAGCCGCTAACGAATGAGGGTATTTCCGGGCATCCAATCAAAAAGTCACCCACGTAAAAAATGTTCATAGTACATATATTTTATAATAAATTTTTGAAATTAGCTCATTTGGTTCAGTAGAAAATTTTTTTTGAGCCCCCAAAGTTTAGGTTCAAAAATGCCCTAAAATGGCTATAAAAGATTTTCTACTCAGCCAAAAAATTTGCCTAATAGCTCATTTTGTAGCCAATTTGATGTAGTTTCTTAAAGTAAAGCCATCTAAAACAATTTTTCGTTGAAAGTAGGAGAAAGAAGGCAAGGAACAAATTCAGGGCAACTCTCAAATGTGAAAACAGCGACCGAGTTCAACTGAAGTCGTTCCTCGCCCTCTTTCTCCTAGCTTTGAAAAACAAATGTTCAATGTCGCTTTACTTTAGGAAACTACATCAATTTGGCTACAAAACGAGCCATTAGGCAAGTTTTTTGGCTAAGTAGAAAATCTTTTATAGCCATTTTAGGGCATTTTTGAACCTAAACTTTGGGAACTCAAAAAAATTTTTCTATGGAACCAAATGAGCTAATTTCAAAAATTGATTATAAAATATATGTATTATGAACATTTTTATGTGGGTGACTTTTTGATTGGATGCCCGGAAATACCCTCATTCGTTAGCGGCTGAATTTCGTAAGCGGCTACGACATATAGCTTTAATTGAATGATTGAAAGATAAGCAGTTGTTCCAGACTGATATCAACACAATATTTAAGATAAAATAGCTCATTGAGCTTTAGTAAAATTGGTGAAACGATCGTCGAGCCGGACACCCTGGCCACAGTGGTTTTGTTCGGGTATTGGATGGACAAGGTGGGAATGAAAATTGTTGAATCACATCTAAACTATCAATCGGATACATTTAAATTATAGATATTTAAAATATAGACATTTAAACTATAGACATTTAAACTATAGACATTTAAACGTTAAATCAATCTAGCTTTCAGATTGAATACGTGACATTCACTGATTCAAACTGTATCACTTCCGAGTTTAACATCAGCAACAAGCAATTCGAGCAACAAACGGATAAAAGAATCGAGATTCGAATGAAGTTTCCAAAGTGAGAAAATTTCGAATCAAAATAACTCAGAAAAACTCAGTATTGAACCCTCTTGGCGAATGTGTATCAAGCAGAAAGGAGTCAATGGGGAATTGTTGATGGTGAGTGTACAATTGTTGAAAACTTGTATTGTTTTCAAAGCTAGGCAAGCTATGAAGTGTCTTTTCTGCTGAAAATGGAAACACACTATTTCTAGCGCACTGAAATCTGTATTTTTTTCAAATGAAAGTAACATTTGTCAAGGCCAGTTGGCCAATAACATTTGTCAAGGCCAAAAATTTGGCCAATTTGGCGAGATTGGGACTCGAACTTGAGAGCAAAAACTTGTAATTGGTTTGAGAGTCTAGAAGACTAGAAGATTATCCATTAGACTAGAAGACTATCTACTAGCCTAAAAGACTATCTACTAGACTAGAAGACTATCACTAGACTAGAAGACTATCCATTAGACTAGAAGACTATTCACTAGACTAGAAGACTATCTACTAGACTAGAAGACTATTCACTAGACTAGAAGACTATCTACTAGACTAGAAGACTATTCACTAGACTAGAAGACTATCTACTAGACTAGAAGACTATTCACTAGACTAGAAGACTATCTACTAGACTAGAAGACTATTCACTAGACTAGAAGACTATCTACTAGACTAGAAGACTATTCACTAGACTAGAAGACTATCTACTAGACTAGAAGACTATTCACTAGACTAGAAGACTATCTACTAGACTAGAAGACTATTCACTCGACCACCGAGACATTTGAGACTCAAGCGTCTGACGATCTCATAAGGAGCTTTTTTGAACAAAGAGTACGCATGCGCATCGAATAACTTACAGTAATCTGTGAGCTTAAAAAACTGCAATATTATAAAACAATTCTCAGGTAGAAGGCGTGCACACTTACATCACCACCTCAGCCACCATTCGTACTCATTACATGCCGTTTTACCTTCAATGCTCCATCCTTTTTGTTCTCCTTCTGATGTCGGCTCTTTTCTCTGGTTTAAATCTCGGATTGATGAGTTTATCCCTCAACGAGTTGCAGCTTTTGATAACATGTGGTAAATTAGAAGTGAGAATTCTCAAGTTCCAGCTTTCTAGGATCAAAGTCCGAGCGTCGGTACGCGAAAAAAATCCTACCGGTCAGAAGACAAGGGAATCAACTGCTTTGCACGATTCTCTTGATGAATGTTGTGGTAAGTGTTTGAATGAAACAAGTAGTAAGAAAGGCAAAATTGAGCAAACTTTAATAGGAAAAATCGAGCACGATTCCATATTTTTTCAAGAAAGGAAGTCTAGTCTAGTCTAATCGTACGTCAAGTTGTCAATTTTATTAGTTTTTTTGAATACATCTTGACACCATTTCTCATACTTTCGTTTAGAAATGACTATTTCACCGATTGTTATGGTTTCCTCTAAATAGAAAATGTTTATCGTTTGCTTTTCTTTTTTTTTTAAACCAATCTGGACCCGTTTCGAAGCGAATTTAAGCACAAAAATTTGTTTTTGATAAAATCCGATTAAAAGTTCTATAAAGAAATCGGTTAAACAGGAGGGTTTTGCTGAGAATTTGGCTATATGTTTAACTTTTTATGCTCCATCTTTTTTCTATTGACGTTAAAATAGATTTCTGTGGACTAAAGTGGCTAAATTAGGTCATTAGGGAGTCGCAATTTTTGACAATTTGGCAATTTGGCAATTTTTGATGCAATGCAAACCCAACTTAAGTCAAACTCAACTAGAGTCAAACCCAACTAGAGTCAAACTCAACTTAAGTCAAACTCAACTAGAGTCAAACCCAACTAGAGTCAAACTCAACTTAAGTCAAACCCAACTCCAGTCAAACCCAACTTAAGTCAAACCCAACTAGAGTCAAACTCAACTAGAGTCAAACTCAACTAGAGTCAAACCCAACTCCAGTCAAACCCAACTCCAGTCAAACCCAACTCCAATCAAACCCAACTGCAGTCAAACCCAACTTAAGTCAAACCCAACTAGAGTCAAACTCAACTTAAGAGTCAAACCCAACTTAAGGCAAACCCAACTCCAGTCAAACCCAACTCCAGTCAAACCCAACTCCAGTCAAACCCAACTCCAGTCAAACCCAACTCCAATCAAACCCAACTGCAGTCAAACCCAACTTAAGTCAAACCCAACTAGAGTCAAACTCAACTTAAGAGTCAAACCCAACTTAAGGCAAACCCAACTCCAGTCAAACCCAACTCCAGTCAAACCCAACTCCAATCAAACCCAACTCCAGTCAAACCCAACTTAAGTCAAACCCAACTTAAGTCAAACTCAACTAGAGTCAAAAAAATCCGAAAATGAATCCTTTTCAGAAGATTTTTAGCGCTCTTTTTCAGAAAAATAGTTGGCTTTTTTATTAAAGTAAACAGTAAGTCTGTTGGTGAATTGATCATTTCTAAACGGAAGGATGAGAAAAGTCTTCAAGATTCATTCACTAACCTAATACCTAATGATGTAAGCATGAAGAAGTCACAACGGAGCATGTTTCATTGACAAAATGACACACAACTCATTGAACACAAGAGGAGAGAAATTGTAGAGACTGAAGAATAAATTCATTCTATTCAAATTTAAATTTATACTTTTTGCCGTGTCCCCCAGAGTATAAAAGTGCCCCATTGCCAGAGGCAAACTACGTTTTTTGTGTTTTTCTCGCCGTTCACTTGACCGATTTGGTTATAGTTGGTTTCATTTGATAGATTTTAATTAGGGCTATCGAATAAAACCAACTATAACCAAATCGGTCAAATAAACGGCGAGAAAAACCATTAAAAAAAAGGTTTGCCTCTGGAAATGACAATGGCAACCTCTGGCGTTTGTGGTGCTCTGAGGGACACATTGGAGGGGACACAGGGGACACAGGGGACACACTGTAATTTAAACACACTGTAATCAAATTTTAGCTAGCAAGATTTAAATTCAAATTATTTGTTAAATGAATGATTGCACTAGCTTGGAATGTTACCTGGCGTCTTACTGTGAAAGCAAACTTTTTGGGTCCAGGGCTCGGCTCCAGGTAATGAAGCTAGGGTCTAGCAATCTAGCGATGTGTGTTTCGCTAGATGTGTTATCTAGACCCGACTAGCGATTTGAATCTACCAACTCGCTATTTGAATCTTTGAATCTTTGAATAGCTATACTTGCAATTTTTCGATAGACCTAGCTTATTTGTCCCCAGCCCCGGGCCCAGGTCCTTTTAACAGCAACACCTAAACTGAAAGTACCCCACTATTATTCGTAGTACTACTGTACACCGTCTCAGGGAGCAATTGCCCTGGGTCTCCGAGTTTTTAGAGTCTTTGCTTTGACTGAGCGTTGTTTGAGCTGTGCACCCCTCAGCTTTCCGACAATTCCCTTGGCTTTAAAGTACCCGGGTACTTAGGAGTGCCATTCTCCTTTACCTTAAAATATTGACACCTTCAAATAATTTTACTGAAATCGGTGCTTCGTTCTTCAGATGCTCTGGTTTCTTGATTACGAATTCCGAAAAATAAGCTCACCCAATACTTTTCCAGGTAAACGCCTCAATCTCAATTCTCTTCGAAGACTTAACTTCGGGAACAATTGCTTTCTTGACCTCGTCTGCTGGCATTGTGATCTTTGGCGAGATTTGTCCGCAAAGCATTTGTGTCAAGTAAAGAAGAGCATTCTTACTTGAAAATCAAAAAATTTTCAGAGAAGGCCTTGCTGTGGGCGCTCGCACGCTTTTCTTGACCCGTTTCTTCATGTTCATCACTTTCCCATTAGCCTATCCAATTAGGTACGGTAAAACCAATCCAATATCAAGCCTAAAACAATCTTCAGTAAAATCCTCGACTTTTTACTTGGAGAAGAAGTGGACAAATTCGATCGCTCGAGACTTTTGGAGTTGATGAAAATGAGCAGTGCAGAGTCGAATGTGAGTCACAAAAGAACAAATTACACACTAGAAACGGGCTTTTTATCAATAATTCTTAAATGGGATTACGGTAGCTTTTTGAAAACACTTTTTATTAGATTGTTCGGATATAAACGAGCGTTTGCACTGCTTAAATCGTGATGAAGCCATTTCCCGCATCTGATCGCCTTTCCAATGGCGTGGAGATGCTCATCAATGGTAGAATTTGAACCTAGAAACATGAGCATAGGTTGTAGAAGCTCGAAATACACAAGGCCCTTGTTATTCCACCATACTGCGAGCATGACCTTTTTCTCATGAATGTCCGGTTTCACGGTCGCATTCGGCCGTTCTCCTGGTCCTAGCCATTGCCGTTTTCGAATAGTATTATCGAAATAGATCCACTTCTCATCTCCAGTAACGAGAGAATCAAAAAAGTCATGATCTTTAGCGTGGCGGATGAGAATTCCGGCAATAGCGACCGGTGAAGCCTTGTTTGCACTGCTTAAATCGTGATGAAGTCATTTCCCGCATCTGATCGCCTTTCCAATGGCGTGGAGATGCTCATTAACGGTAGAATTTGAACATAGAAACTGTTGAGGCAGTTCACACGTCGTTTGACATGGATCCGATTCGATTGCAGCCCTCAAAATATCGTTGTCTACCGCTTGAGGTAGACAACGATATTCTTGACGAGACGATATTCTTGACAAGAGTGTTCATCATCCTCGAGACTTTCATCACCGTTCCGAAAGCGTTGGAACCAGGCTCGGCATCGGCTTTCGAACAATACATCATTCCCAAATGCTTTGACCAAATCTCGATGGGATTCCGCTACTGTTTTGTAGTGGAATCCCAGTTTGAAGTCGTAAAGTAGGCGAACGCAAACTTTATATATTTGAAGTTTGAAGTAAAGCAAGAAAAAAGACCTTAAAAATAAGAAATTATTCGTTTAAAAAGATTCCAAATATACACTAATCCAATTCCAAACAAGATAACGTACTTTTAAATACAGAAAGACATTTTTTATAAGCTTCCCTCACAACAATAAGTTTAGTAACGCTTGTTTATATCCGAACAACCTAATAGAAATGAAAGGATCACAAATAATGAAAGAAATGAAAGAATTTTCATGAATTTACTCCTTTTAAACTCCAGGAACTTTCGGCTGACCTAAAAATCGTTGTCGGTGCGATGGAGTTATCAAATAAGAAAGTGAAAGAGGTGATGACAAAAATTGAAGACACATTCATGCTATCAAGCGAAACAATTCTCAACTCAATCACAATAACGGAAATTGCTGAAAAGGGATATACACGGATCCCGATCTACGAGGGAACTGATAAGAATAAGGTAGAGTTAAGCGCTGTTTGATAACTTGTTTGATAACTTGTTTGATAAGGTGCTGCATATAACAGTTTACTAGGGGAAGGCACGGATTTTCCGTGAGTTTTCGTTTCCGAACCACCTTACTAGAATGATCATTTACTAAATCGAGTATGAAGATTCGAAATTTGAAATCAAAATTTGCCAAATAACCTTGCAAGCGCGTAAAAATACGTAAGTAACGCAAAAGTATTACATTTAAAAAGTATTACATAACGGGACAAAATCCACGACCGGGGGCTGGAGCGAACCCCGGTCTTACTATCGAGAGGCCACTCCAATATCCATTAGGCCACCGGCACCTTTTCTATTGTTTGAAAAGCGTCCTTTAAAGCTTATCTTCAATTTCAATTCAATTTTGAATTTGAATTTGAATTGAAATTTCAAAGATAAGCTTTGAAACGCGCTTTTCAATCACTGGGCTGTGGCACCGGTGGCCTAATGGATAGTGGCGCGGCTTCTCGTTAGTAGGATCGGGGTTCGGTCCCCATCTGGTCCTTTGGGGTTTTTTTTTCTTTAAATATACGCGTATCTTTGCTGTATATTTACTTTTCTTTCTTACGCGTTAAATGTTTGCGTTACTTACGTATTTTTACTTGTTTGCAAGCTTGTTTGGCAGATTTCGTTTTCAGGTTATGAACCTCTACAGGGTGCGTCATAATTATTGCAACAAGAGTTCAAAGACCGTTTTCCAAACAGCTTTCTTATTTTTTTTGCCCCCTTTTTTGTTGTTTTGCGTTCTATCTTCTTTATTCTAGCCTAATTGCATCCCGCTCACACGAAGAAGACGGTTCAGGACTGGTGTGTGGCCAACTTTCCCTCAGTGATCACCAAGGATGAATGGCCTCCAAACTCACCGGATCTCAATGTGATGGACTTTTCCATTTGGGCAATCTTAGAGGCTAATGTCTGCTCTTGAAGTCTGCTGTTTGACCTGGAAGAAGTCTTTGACCAAAGGATGGAAGGCGACTCCTCAAGATGACATTCGGGTCGCAGTGGAGGCATATCCGAACCGATTAAGGGCTGTTATCAAGGCAAAAGCCGGTCATATCGAATGATCCCTTGTTTCCTTATTTGTTACTGTTAAATAAAGCTATTTCTGTTTAAAAATCTTCTTCCAGTGAAACTTCTTGGTGTGCAATGCCTTGAGTATCTTGTTGCAATAATTATGACGCACCCTGTATACCCCTGTTAGTAAGATGTATGTGGTCCGGAAAAGAAAGCTCACGGGAATTTCGTGCCTTTACCTAGTTAGAATTGAAAATCATTTTCCAGATAATCTCTTTATTGTACGTGAAAGACCTGGCGCTGGTGAACAAGAATGCGAATATCAGTGTGGCTACGATCGGGAATCGGTCGAGAGTGAGAATTGTCGGTGAAAATACGCCACTCACACAAATGTTGACCGAATTTAAGCGGGTAATCGATTTTAGAGACTACAGTGTCCGTTCAAAGCTCCAGTTTTTTCATTCGATTCATTCAAAACGTGCCCTTTCTACAGTCATCAAGGGAAAGTCGTCATATAAACTAGGCATGGGAAAATTCCAACTCGAGCCTAGCTCCACCATCGTTTTCTCAGCCGCTTCCTGGCCGATTGCTCTGAAATTTTTTCTACAGATAGAAATCAAGATTTTCAGCTTTTAGACAAGATTTCAGAGCAATAGGCTCAGAAACGGCCGAGAAAACGAAGGTGGAATTGGGTTCGGATTGGAATTTTCCCATGTCTAATTTAGTTAGGGTATACTGTAGAAAGATAGACTTTAAAATAACAAACTGAACGTATATATGTAGTGAAATGTTTGTGCCACTTAAATTTTAAAAATTCAATCATTAACATCAACAAATTTTAGGGTGACTACCATTTGGCTATTGTGAAACGGGGAGAACTCGACGAAGAGAGTGTTGAGAATGGTTTACCAATTGTTTCCTTTGATAAGGTAATGAAAAATAAACACTTATATAGAAAACCTTGAGCTTTCAGACATTCAGAAGCTTTATTTTCATGATTTCAGGAAGAAACCGTGAACCTCGTCGAATCGGTCGACAAGAAAATGGAGGTGATTGGAGTGATCACGTTGGAGGATATTCTTGAGGAGATTCTACAGGTAAATACAAATAAAAACAATGTAGAGATTAGAAATTCTTGAAAGGGAACTAAGAATTAAAAATGAAATAATAAAAATCAAAAATTTAGGCCGAGATCAATGATGAGAGCGACGCGGTCACCGATAACGTGCAACGACACAGACGACGCTCAAAGGTCTGAAGCTCAAGCTAAAAAAGCGTTATGATACAATGAATATCAAGAATAGCTATGCTTTAGATTGCTTTAGATATTTGATTGATTTGTAATCTGTGATGTTTTAGGTGAGTCGTGAATACCACAGCCTCTTGGGGAAAGAGAAGCAATCCGAGCCACTCTCCATACATACAAAGGTGGGTTTTTGTTGGTAAACCTACAAGTAGAAGTACCAAATGAAGATAAGGTAGTTAAAAATTGGTTTAAGCCAGACCAGGACCAGGCCAAGCCAAGTCCTGTGCTGGTTTTACTGAAATTTTGATCTACATAGTGCCTGGGTCCACCAGAAGCCATGTTGGCCTGGCAGGATGGCCCACAATTTTAGTATGAGTAACGTGGCCGAGCCACACTCGGCTCTCAACTTTGGAAAGCCATATAAAAAAGTTGAAAGTTTGAATCGATTAGATAATGGGCACCATTCCAGAAGATCTACTTAAGATTTACGTCCAGAAAAATCAGAACGATTGGCTCAATTTTGGTCAACCTAGGCCCTCTGAAGTGTGTATAATTGTGTGGCCACCCTGTAAAAGACACCCCACCAAAAAGACCCAAATTTCTAAGCCAAAACCCAACGTTTTAGGCTAAATTCAATGATGAGATTCCATGCCAAGGCCAATTGAAATCGAAAAAGCTATTTGCTTTGCCTTAGCTTGGCTTGGCTTGGCTTGGCTTGGCCTGGCTTGACTTGGCTTGGCCTGGCTTGGCTTTTGTTTAAACCCAGATTAGGGTCCAATATTTCTAGATTCAAGCAGCCGCTTATTTAAAAAGTTTCGAATTCTTCGTTTTAGATAGTTCTCTGCAAATATCTCCGGGATCACCATCCGATTTTCTCAAGTGAATGTCTCGAGCAAAGAGCTTTGGAGATGATGATTGAAAAGAATGTGAGAAAGGTGAGTTCAATCTCAGCTTCGAAAAAAGGCAATACTTTGTTTCTTCTAAAAGCAAAGATTTTCGGTTTTTCTGCACAGTGACTCGCCGCCAGTTCGTCTTTTTTGAAGCCGGTGTCATCAGCAAGAGAGTGATCATCATCATTGAGGGAAATGCGCAAGTTCTTTTTCCAAAGGTAGAAAAGTTTTTATATATTGACACTCATTGAAACGTTTGTACAGTAAGTACAGTTAAGTACAGTAAGTACAGTTAAGTACAGTTACGTACAGTAAGTACAGTAAGTACAGTTAAGTAAGTACAATACGTTAGTTTAGAACAACATGACTCTCACAGCTGATGCGTGGATTTCCCTTGGTGACATCATTTTCCACAAACTCGAGCAAGCGATTCTGCAAGGGGGAAATGGTTTGTGAGGAAAAAAAACTTGATAAAAATGAAAACACATCCTTTCTGGTGCACCAGAAAAGATCAGTTTACATTTTTGGTCAGAAAATACCCCCCAAAAAAGCTCTAGCTGTTATTTATTGGAAAGTTATTTTCAGAAACGAATACATCCATTCATTTTGTGCCCGACTTTACGGTCACTGTCGAGAAATATTGTAAATTCGTTCAACTGCCGATCACCTCACTTTATCATGCTTTGAAAGTATCAAGGATGCTCAGAGCTATCAAGTAATAAGAGTTTAATCGATTAAACAATAACTTCATCGGCTTGATTTGTCCTGTGTCAAAAATTACCTCCAAATGATAATCAAATCAAATCAAATAAAATCAACTCAAATCTTTCAATTTCCTTCAGACCAAAACTAGATAAATTGAATAGAAACAGAAAGAATCTTATAGAATTTTCGATAGTTGACATAGTTTAGAAAAGACTGATGTTTAGAGGAACAAACTATTGTTCAGACCGTCCTCAAGCTTGCTTCGAATCACATTTTCTCCACTTTACCTCTTTTCAAAATTTCTTTTCTACAATTGCATCCAATTTTTGTAAATCCCCTTCAGTTATCATCTCTCTATCAACTCTTAGATCAAATTTCAGATCAAGCAGCTCAACAGCCGCCTCCTCTCGTTCCCCATCGATCTCCGAATTCTCGAAAAGCTCGCGGGTAGTCAGATTTAAAGATGAGGTACTCTTCCAAAGGCAGTTTTTTTCAGATCAGGCTGGAGCTGCAAGCCTGGTTCAAAAACCTAAGTTAGACCTGGCTTCTATCCCGGCGCTGGTCTGGCTTGACCTTACAATCCCTGGCTGGGACAACCCTACACCTTACTAGGGGAAAGGCAAGCACTTTCTGCACTTCGAACCAAGTCCATCTTATAGAATCGGTCACGCTGAGTTCGAATCTGCTTTTAGTTTTTGCCCTCGAGGCCTATAACGCAAGGTATCTGTCTTGCAAGTTTCGTGTGCATTTTTGATCTCTATTTGAGGCCTTCGACATCCGACAAAATACTATCGTAAATAAAATACGATAATGCAAAAACATCCGACAAAATCAAAATACGAAATATGACAAAAATCGACAAAATACTTTACTAGTACCAATTGCCAAAAACCAAAAAAGTTTTTGACTGGGATTGAACCCTGGCCAGGTCCAGGCCGCCGCTCTACCATTAAGCCATGTTTACAACCAGTCTATCCCTCAAACTGTGCCTCAAATAGAGATCAAAAATGCACATGAAACTTGCAAGACAGATACCTTGCGTTATAGGCCTCGAGGGCAAAAACTAAAAGCATATTCGAACCCAGCGTGGTCGATTCTATAAGATGGGCTTGATCTCGCCTTTCCCTGGTTAGAGTTACTTTCAAAAAAGTTTAAAAACACTAGTGAAGCACTTCGTCTACGTAGTACACATTTTCAATTGCAGCCTCTCGTCGACGATTCAACGAGAAGTCGACAAGGCTCAGAAATTGGCGGATCCGAGAATGGAGATCTCAAAGTGTCACTCAAAAATCGACTCCGATCGTTGAGCAATCCGAATACGCAGAAAATTTCGTTACCATAAAGGAAAACGTTTAGAATTTCGCTATAAATTGCTATAAATTGCTATAAATTTTGCTATGAAGATGCTTTTTCATGTCAAACTACAAATTGTGACTCAACTCTTTTTCTTTGATTATTGACAAAATGACGTGTCAGTTTAGTCTCTGAAAAAAAGCAAAACTCTTCGTTTTTCGAAAAATTTCTCCACGCTTTTTCTAAGTAAACATTTCTCAAGAAAAATTCGAGAAATTCTTGAATTTTATTGTTGAAATCAAGATAGGCGTTTGCATCTCAGCGGCGTAGCGAAATCGTCCGGCCCTTGTCAGATCGAGTGCGTTTACTGCGCGAACTCCTTGTATATCGGTCAATTCCTTGTTGTTATCGGTCAATTCCTTGTTGTTTTAGGCTTTATTTTCAAAACCATTATTCTATACTTCAGAAAAATACGATCAGTGGTGTACTTTGGTGGAAACGAATCCTTCTTGGCACACTGCTCTCATTATTGAGAAGATTGAGTGCACCAGAAAGAGTACGTTCACAATTTTGGGGTTAAAGTACACAGGATAAGTCTAGTACTCAGCGGGCAGTGGAGCTCGCGTAGTAAACGCACTCGATCTGACGATTTCGCTACGCCGCTTAGATGCAAACGCCTATCGAGCATGGGGAACACGATGCTCTATTTATTTTTACCCATTCTCAACGGTATACAAGAAAAACGCTTGTAAAATTTGTAAAAAGAAAAACGCTTACAAAAAGTCGCAAAAACAATAATAAAATGAACAATTGAATAGAGGATCTTGTTCCCCATGCTCGAGAGGCGTTTGCATTTCAGCGGTGTAGCGAAATCGTCGGATCAGTTCGTCCGGATCAGTTCGTCCGGCCAGTTCGTCCGGCCAGTTCGTCCGGCCAGTTCGTCGGGCCAGTTCGTCCGGCCAGTTCGTCCGGTCAGTTCGTCCGGCCAGTTCGTCCGGCCAGTTCGTCCGGCCAGTTCGTCCGGCCAGTTCGTCCGGCCAGTTCGTCCGGCCAGTTCGTCCGGCCAGTTCGTCCGGCCAGTTCGTCCGGCCAGTTCGTCCGGCCAGTTCGTCCGGCCAGTTCGTCCGGCCAGTTCGTCCGGCCAGTTCGTCCGGCCAGTTCGTCCGGCCAGTTCGTCCGGCCAGTTCGTCCGGCCAGTTCGTCCGGCCAGTTCGTCCGGCAAGTTCGTCCGGCCAGTTCGTCCGGCAAGTTCGTCCGGCCAGTTCGTCCGGCAAGTTCGTCCGGCCAGTTCGTCCGGCAAGTTCGTCCGGCCAGTTCGTCCGGCAAGTTCAGACCATTCCCTTGTGAGAATCTGAGAGTGAACGCAAAGTTTTAGTCTCTTCCTAGTATAAGTCCAGGAATACCTTTAGTTCGAATCCGGCTAGTTCTTCCGGCAAATAAATGGTCAAGCGGCCAGAATTTAAAGTTTTAGCCAAGTTAAGGGCCGGCTCAGTTAGTCCAAAGGCCAATTAAACGTTTTCCTGCCAGGTTCGTCGGCCAGTTCGTCAACCGCAACAAAGATTCAGTCCGGCCAGTATCGGTCCGGCCACTTTCTGTCCGGCCAAGTTCAATGTCCGCAATTTCTTCCGGCCAGTTATTCCCGCCAGTTCGTCCAACCAGTTCAAAGTGCGGCCCGTTCCGTCCGGCCCGTTCGATCCGGTCCATTCAATTTTTCATTTCTCATTTCCTCAGTTCGTCCGGCCAGTTCTTCCGGCCAGTTCGTCCGGCCAGTTCGTCCGGCCTTTTTGTCGGGGCCAGTTCGTCCGGCCAGTTCGTCCGGCCAAAGTTCTCTGGCCAGTAAAAAAAACTCTTCCGGCAAGTTCGTCCGGACAAATAAATAGTATATCGACCTGCCAAAATGGTTAAATGTCCGGGCAGTTCGTCTTGGGAGTTCGTCCGGCCATGTTCTTAAAGATCTCTAAATGTTTTAAAGATCTCTAAATGTTTTTTAAACATTTTGCTTTGTCTCTTTCATAAAGAAAACGCTAAAGTTCGTCCGGCCAGTTCGTCCGGCCAGTTCGTCCGGCCAGTTCGTCCGGCCAGTTCGTCCGGCCAGTTCGTCCGGCCAGTTCGTCCGGCCAGTTCGTCCGGCCAGTTCGTCCGGCCAGTTCGTCCGGCCAGTTCGTCCGGCCAGTTCGTCCGGCCAGTTCGTCCGGCCAGTTCGTCCGGCCAGTTCGTCCGGCCAGTTCGTTCACCATTCCCTTGTGAGAATCTGAGAGTGAACGCAAAGTTTTAGTCTCTTTTTTACTATAAGATCCAGAAATACCTTTAGTTGAATACCTTTAGCTCTTTTGCAAATAAAATTGCAAAGAATAGCCAGGATATTAAAGAATATTGAGCAAAGAATATTAAGGGCTGACTCATTAATTCTAAAAGAGCAATTAAACATTTTTTCCTGAGGTTCGATTGCATTAAAATTCCCTCAACTAAAGAATTGAGTGCTCTAGAATGGGTGTGCTTGCACTTTCTGAGCGCAAAGTACACATGTCATCAATTTATTAGCTATTTATTCCCCCCAGACACCAATCATTTCAAAGTGCATCCCCTTTCCGTCGACTCCTATCAATCTTTTCCATTCACTCTTTTCCCCATTTACTTTCTCTCATTTCCTTTCTTTTTTTGTGTGTGAGAGAACGCGTGATTTCCCCCTCGCAAACCAAAGTTTTCTCTCAAAAAAAAAAAACTCTTTCACACACGTTTTGAACAAATAAATAGTATGATCGACTTGCCAAAATGAATGTTAAATGTTTAGAAGTTGTTTTGAGAGATCTCTAAATGTTTTAAAGATCTCTAAATGTTTTTTAAACATTTTGCTTTGTCTCTTTCATAAAGAAAACGCTAAAATTCTTGATAATTTTTGCTTGCTTTTGCTTTAACTTAATGAAACTTGATGAAAATTTGATTTTGAAGTTTATTTTCGCATCTAAAATTATTTTTTAGCTCTTTGCATTTGCATTGCTTGCTCTTTCCATTTGCTCTTTTGCATTCAACAAAAGCCAAGACAATGATAAAGTTCTCGTTTTTGGATTTTTGCCAAATTTTTGTGAAATTTTTCTTTTCAAGCTTGTAACCAACTCTTTCATCTTTTGAAAATCAAAAATTTACCTTTGTCTGGCTGTCCTGGCTGTTCTGGCTTGTTGCTAATTGTTGTAACATTGCAGATATAAAGTTTGTATTAGAGTTAAAGTTGTTGTCGTACTATCGTAATGTTATCCAACCCTGCATCTCAATCCAATCTAGCCCTGCATCTCAATCCAATCCAACCCTGAATCTCAAGGTTCAAGAAGAAACTTTTACATGTAAAACATCTCAGAAGGCAAAATATCTCATATTAGGGTGGTGCAAAAGAAACTTTGGAAGATTACGAGCACGGTTCGAGGCCAGAAGTCATGAACGAAGTCAAGCTGAGGGACGTTATTCAGGCCGATCATTAGATCCATAGATCCATAGATCCATAGATCCATAGAATTCCATAGATCCATAGATCCATAGATCCATTGATCCATAGATCCATAGAATTCCATAGATCTAAAGCTCTCATTGACTTTCCCTGCCGATCCATGCCGATCTGCTCGAGATCTTGCAAAAATATTCCATTGTGATCATGTCACCGTCGAACGCCATCTTTTTTTTTTAATTTACCGTCAATTTCTTTTGCACCACCCTAATAGTTAGTATCCCCTTTTTACCAATTTTTAAATCGTCCACTTTTGAAACAAAATCAACCCTTGACCTCTCAAATCCTTCCCCTTCAATTCCCTCTCTTTTCCTGCCAATCAGGCTTTGCGCTGGGGAATTTCAGGGAAATTTTCCGATAACGGTCCACTGGACAGATCTTTCCAGTGTTTCAAAAAGAATTTTTCCTTAGACTTTTAATTATTTTTACATTTGGTTTTTGAACTTATGGTTGCTTTTAATGGAATCTTCATTAAATTTGGTTGTAGAAAAGTAGAATTTGTTTTGTAGACTCACCGATAAGAACATAGAGAAAATTTGAGTCAAAGTTGACCTTTCAAATAGGAGTCTCGCAGTTTGGGGACCCTTCCAAATTCTGTGGCGAGCCTCGGAGTTTGGAACCCCCCCTTTCTCTACCAAATCTCGACTCCCAGTAATCAGTCGCTTGGGTTGGTTTAAAATAATCTTCATGAAATTTGGTTATAAAAAAGTACAATTTGTTTTGTAGACTCACCGATAAGAACATAGAGAAAATTTGAGTCAAAGTTGACCTTTCAAATAGGAGTCTCGCAGTTTGGGGACCCTTCCAAATTCCGTGGCGAGCCTCGGAGTTTGGGAACTCTTCTTTTTTACTCCAAATCTCGACTCCCAGTAATCAGATCGACTTGGGGTTGGTTTTAAAATAATCTTCATGAAATTTGGTTATAAAAAAGTACAATTTGTTTTGTAGACTCACCGATAAGAACATAGAGAAAATTTGAGTCAAAGTTGACCTTTCAAATAGGAGTCTCGCAGTTTGGGGACCCTTCCAAATTCCGTGGCGAGCCTCGGAGTTTGGGAACTCTTCTTTTTTACTCCAAATCTCGACTCCCAGTAATCAGATCGACTTGGGGTTGGTTTTAAAATAATCTTCATGAAATTTGGTTATAAAAAAGTACAATTTGTTTTGTATACTCAGGTATAAGAACATCGTGAAAAACGGTATCAAAGTTGACCTACTTACCTACAGAAGTCGATCAACTTTGATACCGTTTTTCTCTATGTTCTTACAGGTGAGTGTACAAAACAAACTGCACTTTTCTTAAGCCAAATTTGATGAGGATTCTTTTAAAATGAATCGTAAGTCGATCCGATACGCAAAAAACTTTGCAAAAAGTTGAACTAAGTATTAATTTGATGAATATGTCCAGAATTGTCAAAATATCTTTTTCAATCTCGAATTTTTCTCGATAAAACACGATTTTGTTTGTGTTTTTGTGTGTAAAACTAGATCGAGAAGGGAAAAAATGAGAGAAAACATCGGGGATCGATTGAAAATACGCACGTTTTTGT